AATCCTGCCTGGGCCTTATTCATATTTGCTGAACTCATTAACTTCTGTTTACTCGAATCCAAATAACCATTCCAGGCTTTTCGAGCAGCTAAGAGGCTTTTATCATCACACACTTCGGATCCATCTTGATGCCTACACTTTTCGCCCTTTTCTTTCTTTTCTATACTTAGAAAAGCCATCTTATCTGTTACACCAACCGGCTTCTTGCTAGGACACGCATCAAGAGGCTTTACATCGTTACGGTCACGTACTCGTCCTTCATCCAAGGACTACATTCTCTTTCATGGTGACGAGTCGCCAATCCACCACCACTTGCTCCGATCAGCAGATGCAATGGACTCTTGTAACTTAGTTATTTGAGAATAAATTATTATTATCATAGCAAAAATATGTGAACATGGAGGGATTTTCCGAAACACAAAACATTCAAAAAGAATTCTACAGATGCTACTGAGATCCGAAATCTTTCTGTAGAACTCATCCTTAATCTCGTCTGAACTGCATTCAGTGTGGGCATAGGCAGATACGACGAAGGGTCAACGACGATTTTCCCTATCTTTCCGAGTCTTTACTGTCCTGTTTAGTCCGGCAGCGCACAATCGACTATCTATTGGGATCCAGTCAAGGAGAGATTGTTCTGCCCTACGACTCAATTCTATGCCTACGCCAGCAAGACCCCTGGAAGCAGCATCAGGGCTACCGGATACACGAAGAGTAAATCGAGTTGCTTCTTTATTTTGACATGGTGTGGCGAAGTGTATGACGTGACTCGGATCCTGTATGCGCGTTTCCGAGACGCAGCATACATCGATGGCACGAGATTCCAAGGTCTTAGCTAAGGAAGCCTGTTGCCCTATTTGACACAATGTCCGTACATTAAATGCTCAAACATACAGTCTAGAGCGAGGTTTAAGGAGACCAGGAACGACGTTTTGCGAACTCGTATCGTCTGCATTAGCTGTGCACTGTGATGAATGAATGTGAGAAGAGTTAGTCGTGGAGATAAGAGAGGTACTAGGGGGTGTAGGAAGGATTTGATTTTGACCAATTTGGTCTCGCGTGCTGTTATGGGTATGAGGGCGGTTGTCACTTCCCGGCTGCCCACACCGTGGAAGGTTGTTTCTTGAGGAACCTGAAAAGGAAGATGGATTAGTGTTGGTGCGTGACCGCAGAGCCCAAGGGACAACTGCTTGAGGCCGGTCACGCACGGCCTTTTTAAGGAATGTTTTTTGAGTATTAGCTCCGTTCTTAAAGGCCCTTAATGGGCACCCTTATCAAAGGAGACGGAAATCCATGAGCTGGGGGAAGTGTGACATTTTTAGGGCCGACCTTTTCTAACCATTCCTTCCTTGTGAGAAGGCAGCATCGCTGCAGATGCTGGTTGTCCGAGGGAAACACCTTACTGCTGTCACACCCCTCTGCAGTAGTCAGCAGTACGACTTCGCCCTCAGACCTTGGGTAGCTGCTTTTAGTCTCATCGTTCTCCAGTCGACCTGTCTGGCATGGTAGAACCTTGAGGAACATATGTTCCAGCCAGTATAGCTCGGTTGGGTCATCACGATAGGCAAGCCCGACCACCACGTCAAGGTAGCAGCTACGGTCGGGTTTGTTTCAGTATAACCGTCTGCCTTTTGGACATAAGACTGCCCAATCTATCTTCCAGCAACTAATTGATACCTAGAAGGTCGTAGCATATCTCGATGATATTTTAATTTTTGCGACGTCATTAGGACAGCTACAGGAACTCACGACGTTGGTACTACAACGCATCAGTGACAACTGGTTCCGGTAATGACCGAAGAAACGCCAGTTCTTATTACAGTCGGTAAAGTATTTGGGACTCATCTTTGATGCCGACGGCCGCAGACCGTATTCTAAGAACATCCGAGCTAACAAACTAATTCCTGCTCCCACTAATGTCTCGGAATTACGTCTTTTTTAAGACTAGTAATGTAATATTCAACGTTCATTCCTTCGATACACGATGTTCGCGTTCCATTGAATTGTCTATTGCAGAAGAACAGCACTTGGAATTGGACGAAAGAAGTCCAGTCCATAATTAGCTAGGAATTGTTGTTAACGCACTACGATCCATCCATGCAGATCGCAGTAGCTGCAGACGCCTCAACGTATGACCTAGATGCTGTTATTTCACATCAGTTTCCAGATGCGTAAGAAAAATCCGTAGAGAAAGTGGTTCTTGCCCTTGTGTTTGCTGTTCGCCATTTCCACAAGTTTCTGTACGGTCGGAGATTCACGCTCCTCACAGATCACAAGTCTCTGTTAGCAGTATTTGGTTCTAAATCTGGCATTCCAGACCTTGAATACTGCTGGATACCTTCAACTTGCCGGAAGACCCATCACGAGAAAAAGCTCAAAAACAAACTGATCTACGTTCCACAGGTGGCCTATCCGACAATGATGAACAACAGTCAAGAAGCAAGTCGACATCAGGAACGTGCGCTATTAAAAGGGGAGGTGTATCAGGGACGTTAGATCCCCAGAACATACTTGGAAGGTCCCAATATTTTAATCTAATTCTGAAATTTGGAATTTTTATCTTATCGTGCCAAAGACGCTTAGTTGACTTACAGATCACATTACCCACTCGAAAAATCCTTGACTGTCGTCGGTTGATGGATTATTTTAGTACGCTCTCCCAACGACGTTGCTATCATTGAATATATAAACTTGATTTGTGTGCTTAGCAATCTCGTATTTTCTGAGTGCTTGTAGAATACATTCTTTACTCCTTATCAAGACTTCTTGATATACTTAGCCAGGATTGGGACAACGGATTAGAATAGCAAATCGTGTCACTGAGTCATTGCTCATCACTCCGTTTACCGAAGAAGGTGAGCTCGTAATAGCATTCAAGCATATCAGTTGGTGAGTATATCAGGCTCCAACAAATTCCAGTTAGTAATTGACCAGTGAGATTATTAGACAGATAATAGAAATAATAGGTAATTTATTGGGATATGCACATGTCGCGTTCAAACTAATACTGCAAATTCAAACACGGTATTCAATGTAACTGAATTAATGCATTCAACGAACAGGTGCCTTATCAGAACATGTGCACCTACATGAATAAGACGGGTGTTCGGATTCTGCACGTCATTTTTAAACATTATATTAATTCTGTCAGTGAAAATTCTAATATGTAACTTTGTTCTGCCTTCCTGTATACTTACTAATTAGATATAGTCACGAAGGAGCAGGTCGTTAGGTTTTATTTACCAACTGAGTTATGTCAGTTAATTTTAAATTGTAGCCATTAGTGTAAACATCTCTATCTAGTGAGATGATTTAGTTGTCTAGCTAAACCATCCGGCGCGCGGGTTATTCAATGTTGGTCAATTTGTCTACTTTTTTGCGAAGAAAGACTAGTCAAAGTTCATTATTCTGTCACATGCCGAAACCTTTCCACAATCCGTTTCTAAAATTAACTCTCACCAAAAAGGATCACCAAACTAACTTCAGAGGTAAATCCACAATGCTTAGTAATCGCAGTGGAGAGTACTGATGTTTAGTATGATGCCATGGTTGTGTTGTTCTCTCTAAGATCAGTGGTTGCTTAGTCAGGCTTTATTATCATTCTTGATATGATTAGGACCTTTCTTCACTTTTAAGTGGGCAGTTTAAAAGTTCTACAGTTCTGCATCAACTTTTTCTGACAATATCGTCAGCGAGTGGTTGTGTTTTGAGGTCTTTTTGTCTTCGTACTTCCGCAGTTCCCTTGATTATTCTGTTTGGTTAATCTGTAAACTCATAGCTGGCTAACCCTCCGTGTGGATCGTTCTAAAAACAACACTGACGTGTCTATTTATTTCCATTTCGATCTTGATGCCGTTTTCATATCGGGCTACTGCAGATGTCCAGTCAACCTTGCCACTGAAAATATGTTGATGCCTCTCTTCCACCTGAAGTTTGAACTGTAACTTCAGCCTTTGGTTGGTTGGGTTTAGCATGGAGGTACATTTTTTGCTGGGGTGTGTGGGGAGCAGCGAGTGTTGCTTTCAGGAAGAAGGAGAAACAAGAGAAGAAGATGAGCCGACGACTCAGTAAGCACACAGAATGGACTTACATTCAGTCGGGAAATCAATATACATCTATAAGAAATAAAGCCAGCATTAGAATAAGACAAACTGATAGACGAAGCTAGAAGTTGTTAGAGTAAAGTTTCGAATGCAGTACATTATCCATGATATTGTTCAGAACGACAACAGAAACTTGACAATTGAACTCTGAATCTGAGAGAACGAAACTCTATTAAACTAATTGCCATTAGTTACTGTATTGAATCAGAACTTTACCAACAGTGTTTTCAAAGTAAACAGGTAGATCTTCTGTTAGAATATCAACTCCTGAGAGTTCCGTCTCTAGAAGCGTGTCTACGGTAGGGTTCAGTTAAAATGACGAAAACGGGTGAATTTCAGAAGTATCACTAGAAGTAACCGATTCCATTGGGGATTTGCTACCAGAATTTATTCAACCAGTACTTTTCGTGTAGTCTGTACAGACTAATGTACTACCTTGAGAAGCATTTTAGTGAAAGACAGTACCATAAGACCTCACAAAAAACGGATTAAAATCGAGCCCCAAAGTCAGGGAATGGAACTGTTGTCGGAAATATAAAAATATGCTTACGTTGTGCACCATCTTAAAATCCCTTTTTGCAGAAGTTAGTTCCGAAATTCGGTTAGGCATTTATAATTGGTGTTCGGACTCAACATAGAAATAAATTTTCAAGCACTTCACGACAAAGTTTGACAGCCTGTTTCAAAACTTTTTCACAATTGGTAGGTCGTTTAAAATGACCACTTTCTAAGGTGAAATTCTTGACCTACAAACGGTTGTAAACAGATGATATGGATACCGCGCAAGTTTGGTCACTCAAGGTCAAAGGAAAGGATGGTAATATTAATTGGTACAGTTATTCCAAATATAATACTCAATTTCATTACAGTATATGGGATCTTTGCTATAGTCCAGACGGATCGCAACTTGTGGTAGCTTCCGGGAATTTAGTTTGGGTGTATGAGGCAGATAATGGGAGTCTGATAAAGAACCTGAAAGGTCATAAGGATACAGTTTATTGTGTCGCGTATGCTCATGACTCCAGTATTTTTGGAAGTGGGTCAGCTGATAAATGTGTGATTATCTGGAAGACATCTACGTTAGAGGGTTTGCTGAAATATGTGTAAGAGTACCTTCCGTGATGACATTTTCATGTTATCAGGCATAATGAATCAATTCAGTGTTTACAATTCAACCCTGCCACTGTGCTTCTAGCTAGCACTGGGAGTACTGATTTCGGTTAGTCGACGTTCGTTTTTATAATATACTAGGTTACTGGACTATGGATCAAAAGTCTGTTGTTAAAACCAAGATATCAGCTCGTCCTACCTGTTGCAGTTGGAAGTCTGATGGACAGTTTTTGGCTATTGGTCTTTATAACGGCATGATAAGCGTTCGAAACAAGGTAACTATATATGATTACACATACACTTTGCAAAGAGTATACGTGCCTCTTGTCAAAATATATCAAGTTTGTTCATACTATTGTGCCAAAAGGAATTTTTACAGAAAATTTGGGTTAAGCTATGTAGTAGAAACTTAATGTATTTACAAGATTGATGAAATCAGGGAGACGTTCGGCATTCGAAATTGCTGATGAACAAACTACTTCCTTGATATCAGAAAGTTCATAGTAATCTTTAATATCATCCTCACAGAAATGTTAAAACCACCAGTTCTTGTAAAGAATCACAGAGGTTCATTTACCCCTCTCAGTATTTACGTATCTGCACTGTGTCAACCACTGGAAATTATTTGCAATTAGATATTTTGGACATTTTTGATATAAATCTGGAAATAATATTATTAAGTTTGGTGTTGATTTCACTACGAAAACTTGTTTTTGAAAGAAGTATATTCCTTTTTTTCTCGAAAAGAGTTTATGAGGATACTAAAAAGTTTACAAGCCCACACTAAATCACTTATCGTCTGACCATCAACTTTCTCATCTAATCGACTCTAAATGGAACCCGTTAGCTCAACGCGTGACTGAAGTTCCGTCTACCAGAGCATTCTAAAGAAGGTTGAACTGACAAAGAGACTACCATGTTTAGAACTGATACAGGTCACCTAGCCTTCTGACCACTTTGAACCGAAACAAATTTGTCATACCTTACTACTCATACTTATCGGTGTTTGTTTAATTTTGTACTATAAACTAAGCACTATACGCCCATGATATGTGTTTTTCTGTCAAAGATTCTTAGTTCACACCATGAACTATGATCTTTGTCACATGGTTCCTAAATTTTTGTATGTAGACTATGGTTTTACCTGTTAACTATAAATTCACATATCACTTAATGGTACTACACACTGATGCAATTAGAAGGGTTAAGTATTTCTAGAACACTGATAGCTGAACTTGTTGTTTATGACGTTGTATCGTCAAAACAGTTTTTTCAGGCTAACTTATTAGTTTATTGAGAGGCTACTTAAGATAATATGTGATCGACCATTAACAAAAGTGTCCTAAAGAGTTCTAGAACAAACTGAGTATATTCAGTGTTAACTGGATCTTCATTTATGTGAAGAATGCCTGTAGACTGCTAGTTTACTGTTATGTGTTAATATTCAGTTGCTTACCTATTGGCAAAATGTGAGAAAACAAAATAAACCATTAGTACTGAATGTATTGTCTGAAGTAAAAATTCATGGATTCCTCTGAAGTTTATCCCTAGCGTTTTGAGATAAGAGAAGACAGTTAACACATATGAAGATATTGCATTTAAATTAAAAATAATGCTCACCTAAGTATTACAGGTGAATGCTTTTATAAAGTTTTTAAGTGATGAAGATAAAGGTGGGTTACATCACCATATAGCCGTAAATTCCCTCCCCCATTGAACCAACCGGGATGCGAAAAAGACAAATGTACGATTTGTTATTCTTGAACATACGATGCAAAGATGAAGTTGGAGTTTATTATAGTACAAACAGTATCAGGTTGTTAAGAATATATTGACCATCACTCTTAATCCTAATCCCAAAAACTGGTTTTTAGCCCTATTTTGATATATACGCTGTAACCCTAGGGCAGTTTGCACGCTCTTAGCTAGCTTAGAGGCATAGTATAGACTTTGACTCGGGTATTGTCTAAATTTGTGTTGTTAAGTCTATATGTAATAACCGAAGCCTACATATGTGACGCTTGAAACAGCGGCCTTTCTGTTGAATTTTCTTCATGGAAGAGTTGCTTATACTTTGTTTTATGTCTTTGTTTCTTTGTTCTTTTGAACACTAATTGAATACTTTAAATATTAATCCTAGGGAACCGAAGAAGTATTGAGAATCGAACGTCCAGGCAATCCAATTATATGGCATCTTAAATGGAATCCTTCCAAGTAAAGTTATATATATATGTATATAATTAGGATCATTTAGCTACACGGCCAAGAAACGTGTAAAAATCTAATTCAAAAATAAAAGATTTGTCTAAGAAACGACTCTGTTATCATAAAAAATATACAATTTATGTATAGATGTAAATTAGTTAAAAATCTGAACTAATGAGATATCTGTAGCAGTTAACGCGCTCATGTTTGCGAAAGAGAAAATAATCTCTGTTGTAGCTCCACAAGGATTCACTAAAATGTACTACAGTGTAAATGACGGCCATTCGCTGTATCCCACATCAATAATGGCAAAGAACACAGAATATAAAAGCTATTACGTTTAAGGAATGTAAGAAAATTGAAGGTGATTGTTACAAGTGTTGAGAGCATGTATTCAAAATATAAAAATCAAGTGAATGGTACTAGTTTGTGCTAATAATTAAGAATACTCAGAAATAAATATGTAATACATTGAGTACTCAAAGTTTATTAAAAATAAAACTGGTTACTAGTAAGTAGTATAGAGTAATACACAAAAATAGTTGAACATAAACATGAAGAGAATCTATACAAACTCTAGAACTGAAGTAATTGAAATATTGCAGTCTATCATCGTCTGTTAACTCTAGTCTTGTGTCTCATTTAGAATTTTATCTACTGTCAGTGGATCACTTCTAAGTGGTTGCACAATAGCTAATAAAAAAACTATCCTGATAAGCTCTGACTATCTGGGATTTGTAAATTACTGTAATGGAGCTAAGAAGACCAACAGTTCTGGACTTTCATAGCTGTTTCACAGTTGTTTTTCTTGATTGACCTTGTTGACATTGTAAATTTGAGTAAGCAATAATTCAGCATAGTATAACTTATATACCAGCCATCATAAACTATTCTCAATAATCTAGATCGCTTCGTGTAATGTCTGCTCCTATTTTTTTTGTCTTGTGTTTTATAGAGATGATCACGGTGAAATACTAGCAGTTGTTGACTGGAATCAAAAGTTATCATTTTATCAATTAAGTGGAAAACAAGTAAGTAAACATTTTCTCTCAAATACATCTATTTCTGCTTGTTACTGATAATGGTAACGAAAATTACTAGAAATAGGGCTTTTACAACTAAAATTGTGATCATAAGATATTTTTATATTATCAGTTCATCAAGCATACAATACAACAGTCGTTAATGTTGAATAATTGAAGGTACTTGATGAAATTTCCATGCCCGTCAATGCTCATCAGTAAAGTGTATAGAATTTCATAAGACTAGTAGTGACGCGTATAACTTTAACATAAGGTGATATGAGTTTGTCTACTACAGGAGACACCAGTTCTTACATTACTGTAAAAATCTCAACTAGTATGATTCCTAGGTTTATGAATTTTTCTAGTGGGGAACTAGAAGGAATCTGATGCAAATGTTAAGTTACAATTTATCTAGCTATCTGTGAAAATTAAATACATGTTAAGCATACAGTTCTTGTTTGATATGATTACATTTCGCCTACTTTATTTTGCTTTATTACTTACTTACTTACTTACTTACCTACTTACTTACCTACTTACTTACTTACTTACTTACTTACTCACTTACTCACCTACTCACTTACTTACTTAATAACTTCCTTCCTTCCTTCCTTCCATACTTACTTACTCACTTACTTACTCACCTACTCACCTACTTACTTACTTACTTACTTACTTACTCACTTACTCACCTACTCACTTACTTACTTACTAACTTCCTTCCTTCCCTACTTACTTACTTACTTACTTACTTACTTACCTACTCACCTACTCACCTACTTACTTACTTACTTACTTACTTCCTTCCTTCCTTCCTTCCTTCCCTACTTACTTACTTACTTACTTACTTACTTACTTACCTACTTACTTACTTACTTCCTTACTTACTTACTTACTTACTTACTTACTTACTTACTTACTTACTTACTTACTTACTTACTTACTTACTTACTTACTTACTTACTTACTTACTTACTTACGCTTGTTACCCCTATTCGGCCGCCGACCGACATTCTCCAATCTACTATGTCCTGGTTTTTCACTTTATTACGACAAATGATAATTTAAAATAACCCACTTATGTATGAAGTTCTTCTTTATTCAATTAAACAAATAACCACTCCCTGAAAATTTCTACAATGAAACATATGAGCAACTTTGATGTCAGTTTTGTAAAATAGAGTTGTTTTATCTCATTAACTATTCTAAATATCCTTAAGTTGTGAGAATGAAATAGGAATGGAATTTCGAGAGAAAAAAAAGCAGGAGAAAAAAAATCAATAAATTTAGACGAGTGGGGTCATAGAAACATGAAGTTAATTTTATTACTATAAAAAGAATTCTTAGAATTTTGTAAAGGCAAAATTGACAAATGAATGATTTGAGTTCTGTTCATTTCATCATACAAAGTTTTAATGAGAATTCAAACAGTTAGAATGTTATTACTAGTTGAAGATTAGAAAGTTGAATTTTTTTAATCAAGAATGTTTATGAAAATTGAAGATTTTGTAGTTTACTTCATGGACTGGCCTTAGTTAAGCAACTAGGATGCAATGGATGACTCTTTCACCTTAGTATAGGGATATAGGGTGCTGAAAAATATTGCGATGCCTACTCAATGGTCTGAATGTTTAGCATTCTTTATAAGATCTGAATGTCCTGTGTTTAATTTGTTGTAGGTTGAGGGGTGCTCACTAGTAAGGAGTCCTGTGCTAGGATCAAACAGCTGTTCAGTTTGTCTTGATTTTTAATAGTTCGCTATGTTTACTGACTAATGTAAATGCTAAAACTCGAACTTAGTTGAGTGGTCGAAAGACTAAAGATGTAAAGTTGTAGGTGAACATTGTTAAAGTGTTCAAAACTAAAACAAAACAGTTGTCAAATTACTCTTGATTTTCATTGGTTCTCCTTCATATCAGTCCATCAATATTTATTCTGGACTGCCGTTTCGTCCTGGTATGAAACTCATCAGTAGTGAACATCCACAACGCCTGCTACTCGCACAATTCAAACCTAGGACCTTCAATCTTGCGTGCTAAAGTCCAACCTCTGGACCACTTAGCCGGTATCTAGACGTGTAACTGTCTAACTTCAATGGATTCACGGTCTTGCTTAACCTCATACACTTTATTCGATGAGCACTGCTTCACACCCGAAAAAGGTTGAATCCCACTGATCATGACTTCTCACTAGAACTTGGAGACGATTCCTCATGTAACTAGTCACTAGTGAGCACAGGTAATTGTATTACGCGGTTTTGAAGATTGTTCGGTTACTTTTTGAAATCATCAATCGATCATTGTTAGACCACGATTAGAAACCTGGAAGCACAGGACGGCCATTTCGTCCTGGCATGGGACTCATTAGAAGCGCACATTCACGACTCATGCACCTCACGCAAACGCCTAACCAGCCCATTGGCTCAGAGGTTTCAAACTATGTTGGTCAAGTCGAAACCATAATCTTAAAATTTAAACTCCTGGCATAAATATTCACTTATTTCATACTGTGCCATTATTGAGTGAACCTGTGGTGCGCGCTACTTATAAGTAGTATATGACGCCAGTGTAAACGTAATGTCTGGCATCAGAAGAGGAGGGAAGATCAAGAAAGGAAGAGTGGGAACACAATGGAATTTGTATGAAACGCATGAATAGTGAAATGTCAGACAATGGATTGATGATGGATTGAAGATTTGCAAATTAACGGTTACGATATGGTTTTCCTATTTTACTGAGTAACTCTGTAATTTTCGTTAAATACGATTCGGCTGCCCTCACCTGAGTTCTCCTTCACTACAAACCTAATATAAAAAGTCCCCCTCCTGCATTATTTTTCTTCGGTTATGATTTAAAAATTATATGCATGACTGAATAAGGCATCTTTTAGTTTATTGAAACCATTGATAAACCATTATTATTATTATTATTGTTATTATTATTATTATTATTATTACTGTTTTTAAATATAAATTCACAATAAATTACCATAGATTGGCAAAGATTATACATTAGGCTATGATCCATGCAATATAACATGGTTTGGTGATAAATATGAATCGTTGGCAATTTGTGGATCAAATAAAATGTGTCATTTATATAAAACGGAAGGTATACAATTATCATGTATTAATCAACAACAAACATGGATATGGTGTTGTTCTACACGTTATGGATATGATCAGATTGTAAGTGATTTTATCATTTTATGTCATGTATGTATATAAATATATATTACTTACTTACATACGCCTGTTAGCCCCAATGAAGCATAGGCCGCCCACCAGTTTTCTCCAACCAACTCTGTCCTGGGCTTCCATTTCCAGTTCTGTCCAATGTTTGTTCTCATATCTGTTCTTTCATATCTTTCTCTATTTTTCGGCGTAATGTGTTCCTTGGCCTTCCTCTTTTCCTTTTACCTTGAGGGTTCCATGTGAGGGCTTGTCTCGTGACGCAGTTAGGTGTTTTTCGTAGTGTGTGTCCTATCCACTTCCACCACTTCTTCCTGATTTCCTCCTCAGCTGGAATCTGGTTTGTTCTCTCCCACAGTACGTTGTTGCTGATGGTGTCTGGCTAACGAATTCGAAGTATTTTGCGGAGACAACTGTTAATAAATACTTGTATCTTCTGGATGATGGCTATCGTAGTTCGCCATGTTTCCGCTCCATACAGTAGAACTGTCTTCACATTTGTATTGAAAATCGTGACTTTGGTTTTGGTTGATAGTTGTTTGGAGTTCCAGATATTTTTCAACTGTAGAAATGCAGCCCTTCTTTGTCAATCCGCGCCCTCACATCTTCGTCGGATCCACCTTTGTTGTCGATGATGCTGTCCATATATGTAAAGGTGTTAACGTCCTCCAAGGCATCTCCACGAAGAGTGATTTGGTTGGTGCATGCTGTATTGAATTGTGTTATGTTTCGAAACTGTGTATACAGTTCAAGATAAGTAAATCTTTAGAGTAATTGGCATATGGAAATCAAATAAATAGACAGAGATGAAATAATTCTACAAACAGAACATTGGACGAAAATATCTAAATAAAAGTAGAAGCCATTATAATGCCTGTTACAATAAAACGTTATCACGAGTAATGATTATCAAAGAGGTCGTAAGAAAAATTATATATATATATATATGACCAGTGGAGTTCCACCCTGTCGAGTGAGTTTGTCATTCACTACAGACAATGTGCACTATTGTGAACTGATTGAAGATAGGCATGTGACTCGAAGGATGCCGGCTTAGTGTTTTGGAGGTTCACCGCCCCGGTTTCTGCTCCCGTATGCGAGTTTGTGGATGGTCGCCTCTGAAGAATCCCATCCAAGGATGAAACAGCTGCCTAATGCTTCCACGTTAGTAATAGTGTTCTAGCGAAGAACGATTTCAAGTCTACATAATGAGAATTCTACAAGTTTTATAAATCCTCATACACTTATTATAGTTCTGGTAAACAACATACTCAAACTTGAAAACAACACAAAGCTGTTTCGCTGATCGACAATAAGCTTAGTTTCAATATCAAACAATATAGATATCTCAGTGATTGTATCATTTTGAAATATATAAACTTCCAATCGACTCACGGACAGCTTTTGATCACATAACCTCGAAGCACTAAACAGCCATTTCACACCGATATCAAATTCTTCGGCAACGCGTATCCATGACCCTGGAAGCAGCAACTGAGCCTAGCACCTTCTGCTCCGCACATTAGATATTACAAACGCTTAACCTCTCTCTAAGTCGCTGACCCGGCGTCCAAGTGTAATTCACACTAGCATGAAACGGCTGTATAGTGCTTTCAGGTTTAACTTTGATCGATTTGTAATTTCAATGAATGAAATTCAACTATCTGTACAACTCTAAAATGACAATATAAATTTTGTACACATGTATGTATATATATTCACCTTAGGTTGTTGGTTGTCAAGATGGAACAATAGAAACTGTACAACTTCGTTTAGATCCTGTATATAGTTTTTATAAAGATCGTTATGCTTATCGTGAATCATTAACCGATGTTGTTGTTCAACATTTACTTACTGAACAAAAAGGTTAGTAAGTGATATTGTTTCGCGAATTGTTTGATGTTTTTTTTATTTTAATGATAAGTTATATTAATGGAGTTCATGTAATTTGGGACTTGTTACTTCCTTATTCTGATGCTTCACATAAAACTAGAACTCCATTGTTTGCTAGTCATCAATTAATGCAACACATACATGATTGATCTTTAGATAATAAAGAATTTTTGAGTTCAGCAATCACTTTCAATAAGTTCATCATCAAATGTTACAGCTTTTTGTCGTCTACGGTCTGACTCCGATTAGGATGAATAATCAAATTTGCTGTGAAATACATCTTTCATCTAATTTCCGTATATTACTTTTCGGACGAAACCTATTTAAGTGACAGCAGTGATTAAAAACCTAACACAGTTTCGTGGACAGACAACAGAATGCAAAGCGTAAAAACGAAGCGATGTGATAAGGGAAAAACGAGTGAACCAACCTCAGTGCAATGAAGTATGATTAAGAATTTATAACAAGATACAAATAAGCTTGACGCGTAATAAGGTAATGCACACATGCACTCTATTAAAAACAACCATGATTATAAGCGAATAGTTGACAAGGTCGAAAGAGAAGCAGATAGCTCGAGAAGAATGGGCTAAGTTATTTGTTCAAAGTGTTGGGGATGTTAAATCCCCCTTGATAAATATCTTTATTTTCGATTTATTTCATGGACCGATCAGCTGAACTTGAGATCATATTTCCCACCATGAAAATCCTTGGCTGTGATTGGTTACTTTGTCATTTTAGTGTGCTATTTTTGTGACTGTCCCAAGGATGTCTCTATAGAGTATAAATAAACGCAATTTGAGTGCTTGGATTCATTTTGTGCTGGCTGGGTGTTTGTAGAATACAATTTCTACACTATATCAAGACTTCTTACTGATTCTATTCGGTCAAGGGATCAGAGTAGCCTGCCTGGACGCCGGTTAATTGTTTTGTTCTCGTTATTCGACTAAGGTGAACTCGTAATAGTTTAAGCATACCTAGAGACGAGCGTAACACAAGCAATGTGGGCTCAACGTAAGACTACATATTACAGGTTACAATGGCTAATATATTCATAGTTTTATTCACGAACTGATCTTAGTTAAATCACTGCTGAAGCCCTGAAAACACTGATAGAGCATTTCGTTTTGCTACGGGAATCCTCAACAATGTGTACTTGCGACTCTGCATCCAATAGTGTACGTGACTAACTTCAATAAATTCACGAAATTGAGCAACCGTAATCCACTTAAAATAATAAACACAAAAAATCGTTAAGATTATCCCAAGTCAGTCAGTCAATCAGTCACAACGTGGAACTTCGTACATGAGTACATACGTTTAGGTTGCTATACCGCATTAGCACAGAGACGCAACTGTCAGTACAAATCCGATAGTGGTAGAGATAGTAGAAGTATTAGCAATAATGGAGAAAATCAGGGTTCAAAGATATGATTCGAGAAGTATAATTCAGTGAGACAAATTTAGGAGGAGAAAGATAGAGATGATGAGGAATTCAGAGGGTTAGAATTTGAGATAACACGCGAGTGCCTAACCTCTGGACCACTGAGTAGGCTGCCAAGGGTGTTAATGTCTAATCCATCTAGGGATTTCGCGCTCCAGACCGAAAGTCCTGGGTTCGAATTCTGCGGGTTGCAGGAGTTGTGGATGCCCACTGCCACTGATGAGTCTCATACCAGGATGAGCATGGCCATCCAATGTCTCCAGGTTTCTAATATCAGTCTGACGATGATTCATTCGAGATTTCAAGGTAAATTGTCTATAATATTAGTGATTAGTAGTAACATTGTACAGAAATAATCAATCTTTATCGATTGCTCTTAATATAGAATTCAATTTCTTGCTTTTTTCTACTTCAATTTCATATTTAGCACGTATTAAATGTCGAGATTATGTGAAGAAAATATCATTATATAGAAATTTATTGGCGGTAAATCAAATTTACTTTTAGTTTCTTTTTGTTGAAATAAGCATTATTATGATAATTTAAAATCTTAAATGATTTTAAATTACTTTTAAATAGTTGAGTTTGAATTCCTTTTTATTTATTTGAAAGTTTGTAGTAGTACTGTGTTAAATAAATCAAATTAATTAGAGTTTAAATTTAAAATCTAATCATTATATTACTCATATGCTTTAATCATCATGACAATGATTTGAAAAAAAGTGAGTGATTCAAATATTAAAAATTAATCTTTAAAACTTTGACAAGCACTGAAGGATTAGACAGATATTAGGTTATAATTCTGTGATCATCCTGCTGTAATTGTGTCATACCTACAAGAGATTAATTATACTGCCCAAATTACGTACTTACTTATGCCTGTTACCCACAATAGAGCATAAATCGCCGACCGACATTCTCCAATCTCCCCTATCCTATGTCTTCCTTTCTAGTTCCACCAAATTGTTGTTCATCCTTCTATGTCTGTCTTCATTTCTCGGCGTAATGTGTTTCTTGGCTTGTCTTGTGATTCAGTTGGGCGCTTTCCTCAATATGTGCCCTCTCTACTTCCAGCGCTTCTTCCAGATTTCCTCCTCCACTGGAATCTAGTTTGTCCTGTCACAAAGTAGATTGTTGCTGATGGCGTCCGGTCAACGAATACGAAGTATTTTGCGTATACAACTGTTAATAAACACTTGTATCTTCTTAATGACAGCTTTCGTAGTTCTCCAAGTTTCCGCTCCATACAGTAGAACTGTCTTGACATTTGTATTGAAAATCCTGATTTTGGTGTTGATTGATATTTGTTTGGAGTTCTAGATATTTTTCAGTTGTAGAAATGCAGCCCTTGCTTTGCCAATCCGCGCCCTCACATCTGCATCGGATCCACCTTGATTGTCGATGATGCTGCCAAGATATGCGAAGGTTTCAACGTCCTCCAAGGTATCTCCATCATGAGTGATTTGGTGGGCACATGTAGTTGTGAATCGCAAAATCTTACTTGTCCCTTTATGTATGTTGAGACTTGAGGCTGCTGCTACATTAGTCGTTTTCTCTTGCACTTGTTATTGCCTGTGTGATAGAAGGGCTAGATCATCTGAGACTTCTAGACAGTCCAGCTACCTCCTAACTGTCTACTGTATTCCGTGCTTCCCCTGAGATGTTGACATCGTAATCCAGTTAACCACCGGGAGAAAGAGAAAGAGTATGCTAGCCTGTCTGACACCCAAATAATCTGATGACAGTATTCTAAGCTATGATGTTGGCATCGTCAGGGATTATCAGTTCTTTCATTATGAATGCCACACACAATGAGAAAGAAATTCGGTTTAAGTATTTTCGACTGATTAACTTCATTGTTTTAACAAAACCGAATAAATTATTGATTTAGCAATAAAGAAATCAGATTGTTTCACTTGTTTAAACCAGTTTACTTATCAACACTAGATGCTCAATTGACAATGAATTTTTGTTTATTACTTACTCACTCATGCATGGTATTCTAATATCAATTTTAAAATATTTCACATTTTGTTTTTCTAAATTCACATCGACAAGTTATCTGTTCAGAATAAAAATCTCGATTTTCAGAAAAAAAAGGCGAACTTGTATCCTATTTGACAAGATTTCTATTTTCATTAGTTAAAATCATGTCACTTAATCTTAACTAGTCAATCATTGAAAACCTAGAAGTATTAGATATTCGTTTATGGTCTGATTATGAAACTCTTCAACTATGGATTCGCATCAGCTCGCACTTGGGAAATCGAACCTAAGTAGGAAGTTTGGTCTTTCATACGAACATTCAACCTCCCAGTTTATATGTTACAACAAGTCATGTTGTAGTGAAGGAGAACACAGATGAGGGCAACCGAATTGTATTTAACGAAAATTACAGAGTTAATCAGTAAAATAGGAAAACCATATCGTAACCACCGTTAATTTGCAAATCTTCAATCCATCATCAATCCATTGTCTGACATTTCACTTATTCATGCATTTCATACAAATTCCATTGTGTTCCCACTCTTCCTTTCTTCTTGATCTTCCCCCATCTTCTGCTGCCAGACATTACGTTTACACTCGCGTCATATACTACTTATAAGTAGCGCGCACCACAATATTTGTAGGCAGCTTGTCAAATTACGGGGAAAATACCCCACAGTTTGCTTTTCAATGTCTCAAATAAATTCATTCACTAATAATCATGATTACTTTCTTTGCAAATATATAGATTCAATTGATTGAGAAAATTCTAATCTATGAATCACCTTATGATGATATGAAAGATATGCATTATCGAATTTGTACAAAGTTATTACAAAAAATTCCATGTCAACATTTATTAATTGTAACAAATAATTTAATTATATGTGAAGAGAATTATTTATCATGTATAAATTTTAAGGTAAGATATTTTTCAAAAAAATATGTTTATATTAACGGGAGATAAATGATGTTTCATTGAAATCATGAATCAGTTAATCAATGTTAGACCATCGTTAGAAACCTGGAGGCACTGGATGACCGTTTCATTCTAACACGGGACTTATTGGTGGTGTGCACCCAGAACCGCTGCAAGCAGGAATCGAAATCAGGACCCTGGATCTCGCGCGCGAACGCCTAAACTCTAAACCAATAACATGGCGTCTAACTTGCGCAATCTTATTCATAGTTTCCGGTGGGTGACTTCCATGCACTTGACTGAGTGGAACTCTGTTGGTCACTTCTTTTCACTAGAACTCCGAGAATGACCTCACAAGGCTAGTTAAAAGGTTAAGAGTTTTCACACGGAACCGAAGGTTCTGAGTTTGATTCTTGCATGTGGGGGTCGTTCCATACTAGGAAGAAACGGCTGTCCATCGCTTCTAGGTTTCTTATAGTGGCCTGACGATCATCAATTGATTGTTGGATTTTAGTTGTAAATTAACAACACATCTGAACATGGAAACGATACTCGATCTATTCAGTTTTTTGTAGAATAAAAATGGAGTTGTTTATCATATACTTTTGAAGTAATACCAATAGTTCTCATTTTAAAAGCATTCTGAATAAGATTAGATATATGTTTAGAATAACGATTGGAATTTAAGTATTAGTGAATATCTGTAGTAAATAATGTCTGGTATCATAAAGACCATTTTTTTGGAATCTGAGATGGTTGGTCATTTATAAAATTGGAGACAGGCATACAAACTGGTCAATTCACTGTTGATTAACCAAAACATGAAATATGAAATTCTAATTATAACTGGTTCCTGCATGAAGGAACTTATTTTATTTAGGCTAATATAAGTGATAGATATTCAGTCAGTCCTCAAATGCCCTAGTATGACTAAGAGTGGAGAGAGTCCATTCCCGTTTCTCAAGTGATCTCATGTAGACAGTGGTAGATAGCCACTGCCAGGGCTGTTCTATTTGCTAGCTTTTCACATCAGCCGTGCTGTTTACAAAATTAAGATCGAAGGGGAATGTCCAGCAGAGGTTTTAACCTGGTTATTAGGTAATGAGACTTTACCTGTAGGAGCTGATAAACACTCATTCCAAACTAGTAGTGTACACGGGTTTCTTTTGGGGATGGTAGATCCCCAGAACTCGCTTGATAAATATCTTTATTTTGGATTGATTTCATGGACCGACCAGTTGACCTTGAGATCACATTTCCCACCAGGAAAATCCTCGACTGCGTCATTTTAGTGTGCCATTTTTCTGACTGTGACAAGGACGTCTCTATAAAGTATAAGTAAACGCAATTCTGGTTCATTGTTTTGTTCTCGTTATTCGACTAAGGTGAACTCGTAATAGTTTAAGCATACCTAGAGACGAGCATAGCAGTTTCAGCATCCTGAAGGAACAAGCAGCGTATGGCTTACTTACGACTGGATCTCCTGACATTGCTGTACAACTTTGTAGACTAGAATTGTGCGTCAAAGACTCTCAGAGTAACCCCTTTACTTCAGTTTATGCATCCTTATCGTATATCATCTCACACAGATAACGCACATGAATATCTAGGTACTCCTTTGCACCAATATTTATGTGAGATATTCTGATGTTTAAAGTAATAGACTGATGTATTAAAATTTAATGGAATTGTTTAGAGAAAATATTAATAAATATTCATTCCATTATTCTTTCTGCCAGGGCATTAAAGAACGTGAATGGATTGTGGATAGTCCGGTGAATTGTATTCGTATTATTGGTGGACCACCAAATAAAGAAGGTTTACTATTGGGTTTGAAAGATGGACAAGTAACAATGAAATGTGTTAATTGTATAATTTATAAAAATAATTTTCAGTCATTTATTTATTGATCTTTCATTCAAACAAACAGAACTATTTTTTTATGATAAAGCATTTATTGACTAATTTTGTACAATATAATCATGCATTACAGGGTTGTTGTGAAGATTGTTAAGTTTTATTTGAAACCATGATTGATCTGTTCATGGTTTCAAAAAATGTGTAACTTAATAATCTTCACAACAACCCCGTAATGCAAATTACCTGTGCTCACTAGTGACTAGCTTCATGAGGAATCTTCTCCGAGTTCTAGTGGGAAGACGTGACCAGTGAAGTTCAACCTGTTCGGGTGTAGACAGTAACTACCAAAGACTGTGTATGAGGTTGCGCAACTCTGTGAATTGATCAAGTTAGACATTAACACCATCAGGCACCGACTCAGCGGTCTAACGGTTGGGGCGTTCGCGCACAATACCGAAGGTCCTGGTTCGAATCCTGCGGGGTGCAGTTGTGGGTGCGCACTGCTGAGGGTCTCATCCCAGTGCTTCCAGGTTTCTAATAGTGGTCTAACATTGATAAAATTGATAAATAAAATATAATCACTATTAATTTCAGAAGCTTTGAGAATTTCACAAGATAACAACTTATCCTGATTAAAAATTTCGTAATAAACAATTCTAAATCAAAGAAAAATATCAGCTTTACATTTTGGACAAATCTGGAAATCTCTTCTAAATGTTTATTTCCAGTTAGAGTTTTGGAGATTTGTGCTATTTTTTTTATACATTTGAAATCATCAATCAGTCATTGTTAGACCACCAGTAGAAACCTGGAAGCACTGTACCACAATATTATTACATTGAAACTCCTGCAAGCACTGAACGTCGTCCATCATCATCAGTGCTCACCCACGATTACTGCTACTAGCAAGATGCTAACCCCCAACACCTTCGATCTTGAGTGTGAGCTGGCATCCAACAGTGTTACTGTCTAACTGTGATTAATCCTATGATTTTGCGCAATCCTATCCATTGTTTTCGGTAGTATTACTGCTTATACTCGACTGGGTTGAACTGTTGGGAACGTTAGTTCCCCAGAAATCACTTGATAAATGCCTTAATCTTGGATTTTATTCATGGGCTGATCAGTTGACCTTGAGATCACATTTCTCACCAGGAAAATTCTTGACTGTCACTGACTGATGTGTTATTTTAGTAAGCTATTTCTGTGACTCTTCCAAGGTCGTTTCTATGATGTATAAATAAACGCAATTTGAGTGCTTGGATTCATTGTGTGTTTGCTGGGTGTTTGTTGAATACGCTTTCTGCGCCATATCAAGACTTTTTTGAGGCAACAGATCAGAGTAGCATATTGTGTCACTGGTTCATTGTTTCGTTCTGGTTTATCGACTAAGGTGAAGTCGTTATAGTTTCAAGCATATCAAGTGATGAGCATAACATGTGAACTCCATTGGTCATGTCTTTTCTCCAGAACTCCAAGAGTTAGTGAGCACGGTTGTCCAATGCTTTCAGGTTTTTAATGATGGTCTAAAAATAATCAGATCATGATTTTAATATAAAAGTTTGTATTACTGATAAATTTCCCCTTTTTATTTTCCTTTCCTTATAGGTTATACAAATTGTTCTAGATAATACATTCCCAATATATTTAACAAAAGTATTACATGAAGTTTATTCAGTGGATATTAGCCGAAATCGTAATAAATTAGCTATAGTAGATAATAATAAAACAATGAATGTATATTCTTTGGAAAAGCAAGAAAATTTATTTCAGGTTAGTAAAATGATTATAATTCAAAATAGAAGATATTGAGGTATTGGCGAGAGTTTTTGTAGCTCAGGTAGTTAGTTAGTTGATTGTGATGGAGTTTCAGGGAGATTAGAGAACAAAACTTCATCATGAAACCAGATATTATTATACTGATTTGGGTGATTTGAGGATAATTTACATTGTTCAATGAAAATGAAGGAGAATTTACCTTGTTATGTAGTTGCAATATGGAACTACCTAGGAGTGTGTATGCGAGGCCTCTTAGGGATCGGAACGAAGAACGTTACTGTCTTAAAGTTATGTTGGGGATGTTATATCCCCAAAACTCGCTTGTTAAATGCCTTATTTTGGATTTCACGTTTGCGAGCATGGGCTGATCAGTTGACATTGAGATTTCATTTCCCACTAGGAAAATCCATGGCTGTGATTGGCTGCTGCTGTGTATTTTAGTGTGCTATTTTCGTAACTGTCCCAAGGATGTTTCTATGATGTATAAATAAACGAGAGTTGTATGCTTGATTGTATCGTGATTGCTGGGTAATTGTAGAATATACTTTCTACGCTTACAAAGCCTCGTTCGCGTTTATCGACTAAGATAAACTCGTAATAGCCTCAAGCATACTTAGTGACGAACCCAATAAGTTAATGCATCAACTTTTTGATCAGTGATTTGGTATCCGCTTATTCATCTTTCTAAAGATGAAGTGACATCCTGAATTGACAGAACGTAGAAATTTATGGTAATGAATAATATGTCAACTGTTTAAAGCTAATTTACTCTTCTTAATAACTAAGAGTCCTAGTTTTCATACCTATACAGTACTGTAGATTCTCATACTACGAAAAAAACGTACTTCTAGTCCTCACTGATTTCGTTTAGTAATGTATAGCTACGGTCACTTCTTGAATCTAAACATCATCAAACCATATCATCTCTGCAGATATTTAAGCTTATTTTAAATGATTTATTTGGAATCGATCGATACTGGTTGACTGACTAGTCGAAGAATCATTGAGAAGGCAAAACAATATTTCCGTTCTTCTAGCATGTTACTTGTAAATAATGACGAATATCAATGCAGAAATACAAAAGTGGAATCAGTTTAGATCATTCAATTAGTACAATGTCATTAAATAACTACATCATTCTTTTGGTCCTGATTTTGTGTATTCTGGCATAGGCTGATCAGTTGACTTTGGAATTATATTTCCCACCTGGGAAAATCCTTGACTGTTATTGGTTAATGTATTAATTTAGTACTCTATTTTTGTGGCTTTCCCAAAGACGTTTTTATCATGTATACCTAAACTCGATTTGTATGCTTGTTAATCTCGATTTTCTGGGCGCTTATAGAATACACTTCCTAAGTCTTATCAGGACTTTCTTCCTGTACTTAATGAGGCCTTGAGACGCTCGGATTAGAGTAACCAATCGTCTCACTGAATCATTTGTCGTCGCTCTCGTTTACAGACTAAGGTGAACTCGTAATAGCATTCAAGCATAACAACTGGTGGCAAACATAACAGATACAACAAAAAAGGAAGATTAAATCATAAATCAATCATTGTTACACCAATATTAGAAACCTAGAATCACTGGGTGGTCATTTCCTCCTAGTATGAGACTCTTCAGCACCGTTTGATGCCGTCCCAGTGATCTAAAGTTTAAGCACTGATGCGTGAAGTCGAAGGTCCTGTGTTTGTTTCCTGCGATTAGTGGGAGTTGTGGATTCGAACTACTGATGAGTCCCGTACCAAGACAAAACGCCTGTCGGGTACTTCCAGCTTTCTAATGATGATCTAACAGTGATTGATTCATGATTTCCATGTGAACCATCAATCTTCAAAACTCATTTAATGAAAAAGGAGGACAAACTCAATATCATCTATAAATAAGATAAGTTGTCAACTATATATCAAACAACATATAAATCGTTTTCATCTGTAAAGACAATATGATGACATTAAGAAATATGAACTACGATTAAGATGAATCAATGCAATATTACGTTTCAAATTATTCTCTAGTCTTATTTTCTTCAAAGAAACAATTCATAAGAGCTATAAAGCGATAATAAAAACAGTTGCCTTGATCTATGGCGTTATATTCCATAATTAAGAACATTTTTTTTAAAGCAGTAATCACTTCCAAACAGACAAACATTTTGTACAAAAAAAAATTCAAATCAATTTTGATGGAATATTGATTTTCATTTTTTTTTCAGTGCACTCATGTTATTGATTTTTCTGTTTCCTAATTTGCTTTTTTTTCTTCTAAACTATTGATTTTCAGGAACGAAATGTTCTTAGCATTGCATGGAGTACAACGAATAATGAATTATTAGCATACACTGGTTATGATTTATTATTTATTAAAAATGAACAATTTCCAAGTCATCGACAATATAATAAGGTAATTAATTGTTTTGTTTATTCAAAGATAAAACTGTTTTGAAAATACTTCACTGGTATTCGTTATCGATTGATTTCAATTAGATTACCTATAAAAATCATGGTTAGGTGTTGATTTTGAGAACTGAAGTATTGGATTTCATTTTTAGAAGAACTCATGGATAGAGTTTCTATATCAGTAACATACTAAAGTTAGTCACTCAGTCAGCAACAACTTAGAACTTCGTAGGTATATACATCAGTTCAAGTTGTCATACGATGATAGCACGGAGATGCAAATGTCGATTCAAATGCCATAGTGGTAGAGGTAGTAGTGTGGTGCGAGCTACTTATAACCAGTATATGACGTGAGTGTCAACGTAATGTCTGGCAGCAGAAGATGGGGGGAAGATCAAGAAAGGAACGGTTAGAAAACAATGGAATTTGTATGAAACGCATGAATAGTGACAATGGATTGATGTTTTGCAACAGGAACAGTCCAGTTCGATATGATGAACTGATATTTTGCAAATTAACGATTTACGATATGGTTTTGCGATTTTAATGAGCAACTCTGTAATTTCCGGTAAATAGAATTCGGTTGCCCTCATCTGTGTTCTCGTTCACTACAGTCGAAGTGTTAGCTTTACTTAAAAAGCTTGGGGTCCGAAGATATTATTCAAGAAGTAGAATCCAGTGAAATAACTGTAGAAAAAGAGAGGTGCTGAGGAATTCAAAAGATTAGAATTTAAGAGAGCACAACAAGTGGATGCACCTGCGCCATTGCAAACGATTTTGAACCATGTCATTCAAGGTCTCTAACTATCGATTACTATATTCTCGCGGACCCTATCCTGATAGTATGCAGCTACTAATATGACTCAGTTCACTTGTCAGTGAGACGTCATAGATTAGTGTCATGTTTTGGTTTAGCCCCACCTAGCTTTCTGTCAACCTACTCCTTCATCACAAAACATCGCTCATTGTACTAGCCGGTTATTGGTTGGGCATACTCCATACTTATCTAAATCTATTAATATGGCTCAGTTCAGTTGTCAGTGAATTCATGTATTTGTGCCATATTTTGGTTTGACTCCCTTTAGAATTCTTCCAGTCTACCCTTATAGCAGACAACATCGCTCGTCGAGGCAGTCGGTGGTTTGGCATTCGTAACACATGTCTTAACCACTTCAACTGATGAAGTTTTAATACTTCATTAATTGATCTGTCATGCTTACCTAAAACCCTTTTCCTAACCCCATCATTGCTTACTCGATGTACGAGCAGTGCTCCAAAGATACTTATGATCGAATCCTAGTAACCTGATAAATAAACAACTTGCATTACGGGGTTGTGAAGATTGTTAAGTCACACATTTTTTGAAACCATGGATGCGCACTGCTGAGGAGTCCCATACCAGGACGAAACGGCCGTCTTTCAGTGCTTCCAGGTTTCTAATGGTGGTCTAACATCGATCGATTCATGGTTTCAAAAATAAACAACTGTCAAGTACTCTCTAATCATCAATGACTACACTTCAAAATATCAATAATCTATGATAAATACCGTCCATATAAATATAAAACCAATCACATGACCGCTTTTTTATCAGGAGTTCATTCATTAATCAATTAACTGACTTGAAATTATTTCGATCCGATTAAAAAATTTGCTAGAACTGAGTAATTTAACTAATACATTGTTTTTTTGTAAAAAAACACGTAAATTTAGTTTTTTCATTAAAATACCATATTTTATTAAATGAACAATCGTTTACAACGAAAATACCTCATCTTTTTTTCAATGAATTTAAGTGTATACGTAGAGTGCATGAAGTAGCACTTTTCTTTTTGAAATTATAACAAGATATACTGATTGTTAAGTGTGCAGTAAATCATATCATGTGTATGTATTCCTTAGTACTGATTTGAATTCTAATAGTTAAGTTTCATTGTGATCACCATACAACATTTCAATGTTAACATGTCCAACTTGACATTGATTTCCGAAATAATTGCTCTTTTGACTACGATACTCGGTTATATGATTATTACATATCCCTCAGCGAATATCATTTCTCTTAAACATTACACACATGTCTAGGTACTCCCGACCGTAGCTGCTACCTTGACGTTGTGGTCGGGCTTGCCTATCATGATGACCCGACCGAGTTATATTGGCTGGAACTTATGTTTCGGAAGGTTCTACCATGCCAGCCGGGCAGGTCGATTGGAGAACGATGAGACTAAAAGCGGCTACTCAAGGTCTGAAAGCGAAGTCGTACTGCTGACTGACTGTGGAGGGGTGTGACAGCAGTAAGGTGTTTTTGTCGGATAACCAGAATCTGCAGGGATGCTGCATTCTCATAAGGAAGGAAGGGTTAGCAAAGGTCGACCCTAAAGATGTCACACCTCACCCTACCTCATGGATTTTCATCTCCGTCGGTAAGGGTGCCCACTAAGGGCTTTTAAGAGCGGAGCTAATACTCAAAAAATGTGGTATGGCAACATGAACTTATGTACATACGTACGAAGTTCTACGTTGCAACTGACTGACTAACTGACATGTCTAGGTAGTGCGGGCTAACTAACGCGAGAACTAAGTCTTTTTTAACTAGAAAAATCTGTGTTACAATCGATGTAAACGTATAAGGTAACTTTTTATGATTTGTTTAAAAGAAAAAAACTATTTCCTCTCATATTTGAAAGGTTTATAATGAAGCTTTTTTAGAAGATTTGAGTGATTTTTTGCAAACGAAATCTAGTTTATGAAAAGCTAGGTTTGTTCAAACTGAGTAATAGATTTGATTACTCTTGTCAATACATAATCCTACATACATGTGTTATACTTCGGCAGCAGCAAAGTATACCAATGGTAAGAAATAGATTGGGACCAACACATTCATGACTCTACGTATAATTGTGCTCAAAGCCTCTCAGTTTGACCAGGAGCAAAATTATTGATGTAACTGATTTTTTTCATAGTCATTAAAAGAAACATCTTATCCTTTCTTAGGAAATGATGTGGTAATTTGGCAAGATCTATTAAATATAGTTATGTCTAAAACTTCCAAATCTGCAATTGGTTTCTTTCTTAAAGTAGTTAAAAATACTCTGTCACCATCTTTTCAAAGAAGAAGCATCTGAAGTTAACCTTCCAAATCCTGCAAGTCTACAGCTCCCCTTGTCCGCTTACACAGTTTTCTCAACAGCATTGTGTTTACAGAGTATCTCTTTGAGTTCATTAGGGCAATTAATTGACTAGTTAGAAATCCACTGTACTGAGTATATTGGATGTCATAACCATTCTTCACATGCATTCATTATACTGGTAGTTTTCATACCAATCACTGATTCTCATGTTCCACTTAAAAACAACTGTTTTCTTCAATTTATTATTTTCCTGAACAGTATTCAACAAATCACGTGCATTCTCCTGCTACTTACTCCAAGTTTTACCGTTCACATTTATGAGCTCATCTCGTTTATCGATTTTTGCTTTTCAGGGTCAAATCCTTAGTTTTACAGGTTCATTTGTTTATTGTTTACATGAGAACGCTGTAAATCGTATAGAAATTTCATTAAGTCCTGCTGTTTATCATTATTTGGGAGCTGGTCAATTAACTGAAGCTTATCAACTTGGTTGTTTTGGATTAACTGATCAAGATTGGAAAGTGATTGGACAAATGGCTTTAAATAAACTGAATTTAAAAGTAGGTTTTTTTGAAAAAAAAGATTTTTGATATTTTTTTGGTAACTAGTTAGGTAAACGTTTATGGTGGTCTGTGATCTGATTCCTATCCCTACCAGTTTTTGTATATATCATACTTAGGCGAACCCCGTTTATGCGACGAAGGTAATAAGAAGACATATAAGGGTTCGGTTGGATGAGTTTTTGTTTCAGGCACTCGTTCATGTAGACATGATAATGTTGAGGACATTAGATTCCCAGAATTCACTTAGAAATGTCTTAATTTTGTAATTTTATCGTGAAATTTTGAATTTCCATGTTTTAGAGTCAGTTGACCTTCAGCTTACATTTCCACATTTGGAAATCCTTGAGTGTCATTGGTTGATGGATTGTTTTAGTATGCTATTTTGTGGCTCTCCTAAGGGCGTCTCTATCATTGCATAAATCAGCTTGATTTGTGTGCTTAGACACCTCTTATTTTCTGGGTGCTTGTAGAATACATTCTCTACGCCTTATCAAGATCTCTTGCTTTGGTTAGCAGTGCCTGAGACAACTGATTAGAACAGCCTATCGTGTCACTGTACCACTTGCTGACTTTCGTTCCGTTAACCGAGTAAGGTGAGCTCGTTGTAGGATTCAAGTATAACAAATGGCAAGCATATCAGATAATGAATTGCATACAGGCAAAGGGAAGCGGTGAAGGCAAGTGAGCCAATTACATTCGATAAAGCATGACAAAGCATGGGAACAATCAAAACTGCGGCAACCAATACTAGATTTGCTACAACTGAGAGAGGGCGTAGTGAGTTAAATACACCACACCAGAAATGCAAGAGTTTGATGGCTCGTACATACTAAGTCATGAATATAGGCATAAATGGTTTGCTCATACGGAAACTAAATATCAGAATATTTGGTTTTCCCTAACCGCATTATATATACACCGAAAATATATAACTACAAGACCAGAGCATTCAGCTGCTTATATAAGAAAAGATGACGTCTCTTTGGTTATTGCTGCGAGGACACCTTGCACATAGACCTGTAATACACAGATCAAATAAATCTATTCACTACAAGCCCACATAAAGATAAAGAAACGTTCATGCGTCAAAAGCAAGCTAAAATATTTTATTTCGGTGAATCACTCCAATCTCTGTGCGGGTGGAGAAGATTTGTAGCTCAGGTGGATGATTGTGGTGGTGGTGTTTTGTTCTGTGAGCTGGATGTTTTGGTTGTGGAGCTTTCATTGTTCTTCTGAACAACATCATCAGAAGAACAATGAAAGCTCCACAACCAAAACATCCAGCTCAGAGAACTAAACACCACTACCACACTCCAATCTCTATAGATCTTTCACGTTGGTTCATGAGACATGATCCAGCGACCCTATGAAATCACGAGAAGAGCTGAGTCACATTTTGTCGTGAACTAAAGTTGGTAATACATCTGACGCTTTACTAGTCAGATTAATTTCTGGGTTTATCTAAAAATGTTTAGAAGATTGTAATTACTTTGAAGAAAATTATGGTATTTTCTCGGCTCTAAGAGAATTTTACATGTCTTCCATTACTAGTATAAAAATTATGATATTTTCGGTAGTTTATTTTCTCTTCTTGATTTAGTTTTAATGGCGGATTTTCAGCTAATGTGGTGACCTAACAGAGATTATCTTCTTAAGCGGTCATGAGCATTTAGCCAACGTTACTAGTTTACAAAACTAATTTGTGTTGATTGTATCCTTATTCCTGTTGATGTTAAGAATTACTCTATTTGAAGATATATGCATCCTGTATGAAACGCTTCGATGTTATCGTTCAGTTACAAACATGATACAACACGTGTCGTACATTCTATTGCTAACCATTATTCGTCTTGGTTGTGATCTTGGTTCGTTACTGTAACTGAAAATGAAGCTCATTAATGAGTTCAGATTGGGAGAAAATATTATTTTCATAGTTGAAATCAAGAACTGATCTTGGTAATGTGGTGCGAGCTACTGATAAGTAGTATATGACGTGAGCGTCAACGTAATGTCTGGCAGCAGAAGATGGGGGAAGATCAAGAAGGGAAGAGTTAGAAAACAATGGAATTCGTATGAAACGCATGAATAGTGACAATGGATTGATGTTTTGCAACAGGAACAGTCCAGTTCGATATGATGAAATGATATTTTGCAAATAAACGATTTACGATATAGTTTTCCAATTTTACTGAGTAACTCTATAATTTTCGTTTAATACAATTGGGTTGCCCCACCTGTGTTTTCGTTCACTACAGTAAGACCATGATTAGAAACATGAAAATAACGGATGGTCGTTTCGTCCTAGCGTGGGATTCATCAGTAGTTCCCATCCACGACCTTCTCACGTGGGAATCGGATCCAGAGCCTTCAGACCATTGAACTAACATTTAGTGATGTTCATGTTTAAATTCAGTCAATCCATACTCGTGCATGACTTTTCATCCATTGTTCGGGACAAGTAACTCTCACACCCCACAGGTTTGAGGTCTACTAGTCAAGACTTCTCACTAGAAATCCAGGAGTCACATTTTGAAGCTAGTCACTCTAATGAGCGTACGGTTCTCATTATTAAAGGAGAGTTTATATCAGGAAAATATGCAATGCCTAGAAAGATTTTGAAATTTGTAAAAATAAATTACATAATTCTTATTTGCTCCTTTTTGTAATATAGGTAGCAAAATATGCTTATATACAATTAGAAGATATACTTATGCTTACTTTTATTCAACAACTTGAAGTAAGTAATTATGAATGATCAACAGTTTAAGTATACTATCGGTTTATTATTATTATTATCTTTTGTTAATATGTGGTAATGGCTTCTAATGGAAAGAGATTGAGTAATGTAAGGAGATGACAGTTATATGTCAGTCTTACGCTAATTTCAAATTAGGATTGGTTACATATTCACCAGGAAGCATCAGTGCTTTCAAACTGTGATCTCTGTCACTATTCAATGATAAATCAATTAAGAATATTTCTATTCTACTTAGATGTGTCCTTTGAATATATTACTTGCTTACGCCTGTTACCCCCAATGGAGCATAGGCCGCCAACCAGTTTCCTCCAACCAACCCTGTCTTGAACCTCGCTTTCCAGTTCTGTCCAATGTTTGTTCATTCCTCTCATATCTCTCTCTATTTCTCAGCGTATTGTGTTCCTTGACCTTCCTCTTTTCCTTTTTCCTTGAGGGTTCCATGTGAGGGCTTGTCTCGTGACGCAGTTAGGTGCTTTTCGTAGTGTATGTCATACCCACTTCTAGTGCTTCTTCCTGATTTCCTCCTCCACTGCAACCTGGTTTGTTCTCTCCCACAGTAGATTGTTGCTGATGGTGTCTAATCAACAGATCCGAAGTATTTTGCGTAAACAAATGTCAACAAATATTTGTATCTTCTAGAGGATGGCTTTGGTTATTTTCCGAGAATCCTCCCCATAAAGTAGAACTGTCTTGACATTTGTATTGAAAATTTTGGCTTTGGTGTTGGCTGATTGTTGTTTTAAGTTTCAGATGTTCATCAGTTGTAGAAATGCGGTCTTTGCTTTACTAATCCTTGTCTGTACATCTGTATCAGATCCACCTTGTTCATCAATCCTGCTGCTCAGATAAGTTAGCTAGTTAGACATTTTAAAAAATTGATTGGATTAGAATAGAAGTTATTTGAAAGAATTTTGTTTTACAAAAATGTACTTTTGTCCTCATAAACATCATGTTTCAGATGAGCAGTGAAGTATTAAGAATGATCAGTTTGTAAGAATAAATATTGTGTACAAAACATATCTGATTGCTGACTAAAAATTTAGTTCATTATTTTGAATCTGATTAGAAATTTTCTGCATCTGTTTACAGATATGTAGAAGACGCATTTCCACGAATAGTGGTTAGAAGTTGTATAGTTTATTCTATCTGTTTTATACCTATCAATTATTAAGTAGAAATTTTTGTTATAGTTTGAGTTACGCCTTGTTACTGTTCTTCTGAACAACATCATTAGCATAACCTTCAGGGTTGAAGTGAAGTATTCGAATTTCTACACGCATGTCGACCTCGATCTTGATTGGTTGTTTGGTTTATTTGATTGGTTAGTTGGTTTGAGGTCAATAACGACCAATCAGCATCAAGGTCCACGAGACAAGCTACGAATCACACGTGTAGAAATTCGAATAGGTTGTGCTAATGATCTTGTTCAGTAGAAGAACATTGAAAGCACCACAACCAAAATATCTAGCCCAAATAACCAAACTTCACCATGAAAGATCGATCACCAGATCTAGCTATTGAATATCTGGTTGAACATACTTTGTTTGGACACATGATTTAAATCTTTGGCAATTGGTCCTGTTCGCTTCTTTCATTCATTTGGAGAGAGTTAAATGCTTATTACTTTCAGTGAATTGTTTATAACTTGGTATCACACTAAGAAGGTTTGATAAGTAGAAATCAATGGTGTAGCAGTAGGTTGGAAGCAAGCTAGGGGAGGCCAGACCAAAACATGCCAGAAATCCATGAAGTTACTGACTAGTTGACTGAGTCATGTTGGTAGATGTAGACTACCTGGTTGGGGTCCGCGAGACGAAAGTCATCAATGGTTAGAGACCTTGAACGACATGGCTCAAAATCGTTTGCAATGGTGCAGGAGCATCCATTCGTTGTGTTCTCTCAAGTCCTAATCTTCTGGATTCGTCAACACCTCTACCTTTGTCTTTCTAACCTTATTTCACTGAGTTATACTTCTTGAATAATATCTTCAAACTCTAGTCTTCTTCATTAGCATATTAATACCTCTACTATCTTTATCACTATGTGATTTGATTTGACATTTGCGTCTCTGTACTAATGTGGTATGGCAACATGAACTTATGTACTACATACGTACGAAGTTCTACGTTGCAACTGACTGACTGAATCAGTGATGACTACTAGCAGTAGAATCCAGGACGTGCGTTTCATTCTATTTGAGATTCGTCAGCGAAAACCAAACCAACTTTCATATTATATTGATTATCGATTAAATGAAAACTGCCTAATCTATCAATAAACTGGTTTCTGTCAGGTTCGTCACTAGCTATTACGAGTTTACCTTAGTCGATAAACGCGAACGAGACTTTTACCAGCGTCCAGGTAGGCTAACTTGAATCCCCAAATAAAGTAAGAAGACTTGAGAAGCGTAGAAAGTATATTATACAAACACTCAGCAATCACAGTAGCATCAAGCATACAACTCTCGTTTATTTATACATTATAGAAACGTCCTTGAGACAGTTACGAAAATAGCACACTAAAATACACAGCAGCCAATCACAGCCATGGATTTTGTTGGTGGGAAATGAAATCTCAAGGTCAAGTGATCAGCCCATGCTCGCGAACGTAGAATCCAAAATAAGGCATTTAACAAGCGAGTTTTAGGGATCTAACCTCGCCAACAGTTTTGCAACTCATCTCTCCTCGCATCATTCGAACAAAAACTCACATCACAATCTCAAATTAATCAATTTTTTTTATCTTTCAGGAAAGATATAAACGTGGTGAATGGAATGAGAAAGAATTACAAACCAATATTAATAATACTAATAATTATTCATCACCAACTATTCTAACTATACTCGGTGATATATCAGCTTATTTAAAAAATTTCAATGAAGCTGTCAATTATTATACGCAAGCAAATTTAAATTCAGCTAAAGGAAAAAATTATAAAATTATTGAAATGTATACAGATTTACGTCGTTTTAATGAAGCACATGAATGGATTAATTCAAATGATGATATTAATGAGCATAAATTATTATTAGTGAAAAATGCCGATTGGGCTAAATCTACTAATGAATATCGTTCAGCAGTGAAAATGTATATTGATGCTGGTGAATTTATTAAAGCAATTGAATTGTGTGAATTACATGGATGGACTGATATGTAAGTGGGGTTATCTTTTGTTTGGTGATTGATTAGTTGAACTGATGCAATAGTCTTTTTTTTGTGTGTGTGTGGACTGGCTATGAAACATGGCCGGTTAGGTTATTAGTATTTGATCATAGATGTCTTTGAAGTATTGTTCATGTATCTTGGGACAACTCTGTAAGCAATGGTGTCGTTAGGAAACGAGTACTAGCTAAGGATGACAAATCAATTGATGAAGTATTGAAGCTTCATCAGTTGAGGTGGTTGGGACATATGTTACGTATGCCCAACGACCGACTACCTTGTCGAGTTATGTTTTTTGGTGTGGGAGTTGGTTGGAAGAAAGCTAGGTGCGGCTAGACGAAAACATGACACAAATCCACGAAGTCACTGGCAAGTGAACTGAATCATGTTGGTGAGTGTCAACTACATGGCCGGGGTCTGCGAGATGATAGTAAGCGATGGTTAGAGACCTCGAACGACATGGCTCAGAATCGTTTGCGGTCGCGCAGGTGAATCCATTCTTTGTGTTCTCTGAAATTTTAATTTTCTGAATTCCTTATCACCTCTATCTTTCTCTCTTCAAATTTCTATCACTAAATTATACTTCTTGATTAACATATTCAAACCCTAATCTAATTACATTTAAATCATGGTTCAATCATCTGTAGACCACCATTAGTAACCTGGAAGCACTAGATGGCGGTTTTATCTTGGTATGGGAATCATCGGTGGCAGTGCGATTCCACGACCACTGTAACTCGGAAGATTCGAACCCAGCACCTTCAGTCTTGTTCGCGAACATTTAACCTCTGGATCAGTAAGCCAACACCTGATGGTGTTAGAGTCTAACTCTGATGGTTCTCATACCAGTGCTTCCAGGTTTCTGATGACAGTCTACGAATGATTAAATCATGATTTCAGTGCAAACACAATGTTCTCCATAACTCTGTAATAAAATCTTTTAAATATTACAGATTGCTTTTCCGTCTCTTGTCTCTCAATATTCTTTTTCCATGCATTCATCAACATTAGTCTGTTAGATATAAGTCGTCGTTTGGATAAAGGTGATCATGAATATTTACAACGTTGTGCACGTAGTTTAACTCGACTTGGTGAATATGCATTCGCTGCAGATTGTTATGCAAAATATGGTGATATTGAAAATCAATTAAATTTGTACATTGAATCACAAAATTGGGAAGAAGTAAGTTACAGTTGATGAAGTGAGTTTTTTTTTGTTTTTTTTTAACGGATTGATAAGTTAATAAGGGATGAAATGTTTTCTGTTATACAAAATATGACTTTAAATTCCCCTAATTAATAGATTGTATTGTGGTGTGAGCTACTTATAAGTAGTATATGACGTGAGTGTAAACGTAATGTCCGGCAGCATAAGATGGGGGGAAGATCAAGAAAGGAAGAGTTAGAAAACAATGAGATTTGTATGAAACGCATGAACAGTGACAATGGATTGATGTTTTGCAACAGGAACAGTCCAGTTCGATAGGATGAACTGATATTTTGCAAATGAACGATTTACGATATGGTTTTCCAATTTTACTGAGTAACTCTGTAATTTTCGTTCAATTCAATCTGGTTGCCCTCACCTGTGTTCTCGTTCACTACAGTATCAATTTATTATGAACGTCGTTCAACATCATCACCTTCATAAGCTTAATAAAAAAAGGTGATTCTGTAATTTATAAACCAAATTATCAGATTTAAGATAGCACTTTGTGAAAGTTTAAGCAGAATCATCCATTCATCCATCTTTTGCCACAAAGCTTGTGTTATTTTATGGTGAAATACTTAACTCAATTTCGTAATTTTCGTGCAAATCCTAATACCTAACCTGAAACTTGGTTTCTTACTCACTTACACCTATTACTCATCGCGGATCATAGGTCGCCGACCAGCAATCTCCAGCCAACTTTGTCCTCCGCTGTCCTTTACGGCTGTTCCCAATCATGTTTCATTCTTTTCATGTTTGTCTCCGATCCTCCGCTGAATGCGTTCTTTGATCTACCACTTTTCCTTTGACTTTGAGAACTTTAAGTTACGTTTTCTCAAGTAACGCAGTTGGACGCTTACGTCAATGTGTGTCCTGTCCACCTCCAGCACTTCTTCCTGATTTATTATTCCACTGGAATCTGCTTTTTTCTCGCCCACAGTAGGCTGTTGCTGATGGTATCTTGACGATAGATCCTCAGTGTTTCGCGTAGACAACTTTTAATAAACATTCGTATCTTTGGGTATTCGTGGATCTCCAAGTTTCCATCTCATACGGTCGAACTGTCTTGACAATTGTGTTGGTTTTGTTTCTGAGTTCGAGATGTTTTTCAATTGCAGAAATGATGACCTTACCTTGCCAATCCGTGCCTTCACATATGCATCAGATCCACTATGCTTATCAGTGCGACTGCCCAGATATATTATTGCTTCTAATTCGTCCTAAAATACTCCGTCACATCTGCTTTGGTTAGTGCATGTCGTCCTGTGTCTAAGGATTTTGATTTTTTCTTTTATGTATATTTAGGCTTACTGATGCAGTAGCTATTGCTAGATTACTGGTCTTCACCTTAATTCATTACCATCACGTTGCCCATCTAGCTACTGAGTTCAGTCAGCCATTGGCGAAATACGCGGCCTGGGTTTCACTACTAGCCATTATACATCTCTGTTTACATTTCTTATGACCTAATGGCTATATCAAGGCGATTCACACAGGATTCAGATATGCCAAACAAGGCTGATCGATCGCAGTTCTAACTATCAATGGAAAGCTTCAAACTACCCACAGAAATCAAAGAAACGCTGATTTATTTTTTCAACGTTCCTAAAATTCTATAAATCATTGATTTTTCGTCAAAGTTCAAAGTTACTTTCTTTGAAATAACTTTCCTCGTCAAATAGATATCTTTTCTTGATTACATTGCGGTCCGAAGGTTCGGCGTCCGCACGCAAGACTGAAGGTCCTGGGTTTGAATCCTGCAAGGTTCAGGAGTCGTGGATGCTCACTGCTGATGAGTCAGTCCCATACCAGGACTTGACGGCCGTCCAGTGCTTCCAGGTTTCTAATGGTGGTCTTACTTTGATCGATTCATGATTTCAGATACGTAACTTCACAATTTTCACGACCCCGTAATGTAATAAATATATATTTAGGAGGCTGAATAAAAAGTGTAGTAAAAATGTTTTCAATCAATATTTATTTTATTTTTTAAATCAAACTATCTTGTAGGCATTTACTTTAGTAGAGAAATATCATGATTATACAAGAAAAGTTTATTTGCCATATGCTAATTGGTTAGCAGAAAATGATAAATTTGAAGAAGCTCAAACAGGTGAGTGATTTTTAAAATAGGTTGTTTTTTTGTTAACAATGAGATGGTATAAAACCATTTCAAATCCGTTCTACAAGTAAGTGACGACTGTCTGGACACAGTAGAAATGGCCATGGATAACAACTCTGTGAGTTTGAGGGAAAAAGTGTTGGGTTAGAGTCTCGCTATGAACAACAACTCTGGGATGTAGGTAAATCCAGTGGGCGATCCTCACTGCGAGCAACACTCCATCTTTTCTATTTCAACACCTGTACAGTGTTCTTTTTTAAGTACAGCCTGAAATTATTATTACTTGTTTGAATAGTTAACATAGACTTGTATTAAATTGTGGTTTTGTGCTTAAATAGTCGTGTGACTTTAGAGTTCTGATCATAAGATCTACTTGCAATGCTCCATCTAGTGTACTGATGTCTTGTAAGCAGACGGTTTAGTATCGTGTGAATTTGTATGGTGACTCAGTCACGTGACGAAAATAATTATTAGAGTTCTGTGGACAAAATCATAGTAAAAGTTTCTATCTTAGCAGACAACATCATCCTATATATATATTTAGAATTTGTTGAGAAGACTTCAAATCATCTGATTTTTGGCTATAAAAAGTGTTTATTCCTTTCTTGTAATGTCAACCACGTATTGGCTTTTTGTCGGGAACGTTAAATCCCTAGAATTCACTTGGAAAAGGTCCTACTTTTGGAGTTTTTATGTTTTCGCGCATAAGCTGCCTAGTTGACCTTGAGATTACATATCCCACTCGGAAAATCCTTGACTGTCATTGGTTTATGTCTTATTTTAGTACGCTATTTTTGTGGCTCTCCTAAAGGCGTTACTATCATGCGTAAATAAGTTCGATTTTTCAACCTCGTATTTTATGGGTGCTTGTATAATATCAACGCCTTATCAAGACTTCTTGCTTGGGTTGGCAGGGCCTGAGACAAGGGATAAGAATAGCCTATCGTGTCCCTGCATCATTGATCTGCGCTCGGTTTACCGAGTAAGGTGAACTCGTAATAGCATTCAAACATATCGATTGACGAGTATATCGTTTTTATCACAAATTTATTATGTGCCAAGTTTATATTTTATTGCCATGTTTTCTGAATCTGTAGTGTATGCACTCATATATCGAGCCCACAGGGCTTGCACCAGCCGTTGGACAAACTAAATAGTCCACTCTTCTCAAGTCACGCACACGTCTTTCAACCTCGTCAATCATTCACCGATATCTTTCGTTGTTTTTATTTGGGTATAGAGGTACATGCTCGCTTAGCTTATCGCATGCCCGATTTCTTTTGTCGGACTTTCAGTACTTAGTCATGTCTCATCGCATTTAGTTGGTACACTTGCCCTCTCTACTGTGCTTCGCTTCTATGTATTTTATTCTTATGTCTTTCTGCATGAACGATCGCATAAAAACAATTAATCCGACTGAATCCGTATCTGTCTTCTCGTTACCGCCGTCTCACAAACTTGATTCATCTGTGATATATGGAAATTGAAAGGAAGATTTATTTCATTGCATTCTCGGTCATTCGAATAAACTGTAATCAGATTCCGGGTCGCTTCAGCGCTGTACCGTACTTCGAATTCAAGGCCGCCACTGGAAGCCTCTCTATCCCAATCTTGACTTTCTTGAATGTCAAGCTTTCCTTCAACTTTTCTTTGTTTCTGAGTTCTTTCTTTCGGGAGTTATTGTTTGCCTTTGTGTATGCCAGTCGTCAGATTATCAATAATGTGAACTTTTTAAATTAAGATTAGTTCAAATCCCTTATACGTATCGGGTGTTAACAATCTCAAAGGTTTGCAAACATTTGCAGATGATTATTGCATCGCTTTGACTATAACCCAAAATTAACCCTAATAGAAGTCACGAAAAATATCAATAGTTAACGAGCTTGAAGCATGTTACCTTTCTGGTCCAAATTAGTCAGTTATTCAGTTACAACGCTGGACGTCGTTTGTCCGTACATCACTTCAGGTAGCTATACCACATTAGCACAAAGACTCAATTGTCAGTTCGAATCCCATAGTGGTAGATGTAGTAGAAGCATTAACTGTAATGGAGAAGACTAGGGTTTTAAGATATTATTCAGGGAGTACGATCCAGTGAGATAACTTTAGAGAGAAAAAGATAGAAATGATGAGTAATTAAGAATGTTAGAATTTCAGAGAACACAATGAAGTGGATGCACCTGCACCACTGCAAACGATTTTGAGCCACGTCATTCAAGGTCTCTAAACATCGATGACTATCGTCTCGTGGACCCCAACCAGATAGCCTCCACCTACTAACCTGACTCAGTCCACTTGTTAGTGACCTCACGGATTCCTGCCATGTTTTGGTTTGGCCGCCCCTAACTTTTTACAACCTACTCTTATTCCACAAAACATCACTCGATGATGCAGTCAGTGGTGGGCATACATAACACATGTCTCAACCACCTCAACTGATAAAGTTTCAATACTTCACCCATTGATTTGCCATCCCTACCTACTTCGCGAATCAGTCCAAATTAGTGGTAAAGGTAGGTGGTTTTGAATATCTCGTCCAGGTTACAAAACTTCAACATTCCGTCAAATCACACTCTATGAGATATCAACAGGAAGGAAATCGAAAAAAACTTTCTCTATCCATGTGCTGGCATTGTAGTGGGTTGACAAAGTCTTGTCAATTCAAAAATCGCTTTTGTAGAAAACATGTCAGTTTACTGTATTAAACACTTCATATTCATTTCTATTCATATTAGCAGAATTTTAATCATTCTAGTAGACTAATCTTAAAATATAACCTATTTATTGATAGTTGAATCATTCATTACAATTTTCATTTACAAAATATTACTTTCTCATCTTATTCACATCATCATTTTGTTTTGTATTTACTCATCGACAGCATTTATCAAAGCTGGTTTACAAAATGAAGCAATTTCAGTGTTAGAACAATTAGCTACTTGTGCAGCAAAAGAATCACGTTTTCATGATGCTGGTTTTTATTATTGGAAATTATCAATTTTATGCTTAGATATGTTGAAAAATGAAACAAGTAACTTACTTAATTATGGTGTATATTTATTTATTTTTTTAAATTGAACTAAGCATTCTTTTACACTGTTTGTTGAATGTACTTTTTAAAGGGATTTGAGGTACTGAGCACGGAACTTTGTTCATCCTAAATTCCATGCTAGTTTCAAGATGTAGCTGAGGGAGCTAGTGCCACCTATAACAACTGAACTCTTTTCACTCAGCTTTACTGTCTAAGAGGTTAACAATGAGGTATTCAATTGACTACCGACCTCCTGTAGGACTGTGATATTTAGACTTAATTAATAAGGATTGAGATCCTAATGGAGACATAAATCTCCTGAGATGGTGGAGAAAAGTTGTAGCTCAGGTGGATGATTGTGGTGGTGTTTCGTTCTCTGAGCTGGTTGTTTTGGTTGTGGAGCTTTCATTGTTCTTCTACTGAACAACATCATAAGCACAAACTTCAGATAGAAGTGAAGCATTCGAATTTCTCCACGTTTGACTTGTAGCTTGTTCTGCTAACCTCGATCTTGATTGGTTGCTGTTGACTTCTGACCTGTCGTTGTTTGCAACTTCGTTTTGATTGCATCCCCCTTTTTTGATCTGTTTCTTGATCCTGTGTCACCTATGATTTTTCTGATCGGTTGATAAATTGAGTCAATGTCGATGTGTTTGTTGATTGCTGATTGACCTGAGTGCCAAGCTTCTAAAAATTCTCTAGTGTTCTTTGTCCTCCCCCTATCCAGTATTTCCACATTGTTCCAATCAAACGTGTGTCCATAATTGTCGGTATGTATTGATATAAGCGAAGCGGTGTCATGGCGTTTGACTGCTAATTGATGTTCACGTAAACGAAGCTGAAGAGGTCGTCCACTTTGTCCTATGTAGTGTTTTTCACAGTTTGAGCAATTTATTTTGTAGATGGTATTTGGTTTTTCTTCCGTTGTTGTTTTGTCCTTTGGTCTACATACGATTGATTGAAGTGATTCTGTTGGTTTGTTTGCTACACCCATTCCAAATGGTTTCAGTAGTCGTACTGTATACTCCGATATGTCTTTTATGTATGGTAGGATGATGCGTTTATTGGTTCCTGTACTTGATTTCGGTTCTGTTGACGGTTTTGGTTGGTGTTTTTTGATGAAATTGCGTGGATAGCCGTTCTTTTGGAAGGTAGTCATCAGGTGTTTTTCCTCGTTTTTTGATGCTTCGTATGTGCTGCAGTGTGTCTTCGCTCTCTTGAACAAAGTTTGTATGCAGTTGATCTTGTGGGTTCTTGGGTTGTTGCTGTCGTAGTTGAGAATTACGTCTGTGTGGGTTGGCTTCTGAAATAAATATCCTGATAATCACACGTATGCTTTGTCGAAAAACACCAATTAATACGAAACCTAAGTCGAATTACTTTCAACCAACCAATATCCCAATAAATTGCACACATTGTGAAGCCGCTTAAATTGGCTGCTACAGTCAATATGTCAAAACTTATGAAGAACTAAAGGACAAGACAAACATGACTTCTATAGAATACTTGACTCTGGAACTTCTACTGAAATTTGATTGTGGAACTAAGGAAAACTATAATTTATTTACAAAAAAATCAAGCCTTATTTGTGCTTATTAAAAGTCAGTTAGCTACAACGTAGGACATTGTATGTACGTAAATCAGTTCAAGTTTCCATACTAGATTAACGCAGTCAGATGGAATTGTCAATTTGAATCTCATAATAGTGAATGTACTAGACGTATTTGTGATAATGGAGAGGATTATGGTTCGAAGATATTATTCAACAAGTACAATCCGCTGAAATAAACTTAAAAAGAGTAAATAGGTTATGGGAAATTCAGAATATTAGAATTTGTGAGAAGACAAAGAGTCAATGCATCTGTGCCATTGAAAAAGATTTTGAGCCATGTCATTCGAAGTCTCTAACCCGCGGTTTCTGTCATCTCGCGGACCCCAACCAAATAGTCTACAGCCACTATCATCCATCAGTTCAGTTGTCAGTGACTTCATGGATTTCTGCCATGTTTAAGTTAGATGGCCTCTAACTTTCTTCCAGCCTAATCCTATGTCAAACAACGTCGCTCCTCGGAGCAGTTGGTGGTTGGTTGTGAAGGCGTAACATATGCCTTAACCACCTCAACTGATGAAAATTCACTGCTTCATCACATGACCCGCTACTCTTAAATGGTCGAGCCTTCTGTGTCCGTGCTGAGATTTTGTCAGCAATCAGGCCATCAGCACTGATGAGACCCCCAAGTTAAATTAAGCAGTCAACACGTTGAACTACTTCACTCTATGTCACTAGTTCAGGTACCGAAGCAACCCAATCTTGAACCAATACTTTGCATTTTGAGGGGAAGAATCGCATCCCGAACACGATGTGGTCTATTCGGATCTAGCACCGAGTTGATTTTGGAGGTCACCATGCCAAAAGATTTTTTTCCTTGCGCTTAAAGTGTAGGCGTATATTTGAGTATAGCTGCAACAGATGCTCACTGTATACTCTTTGAGTTACAACACCATATGATCCACCCAGGTGTCTTTCAGTTTTGCTTTGTCTACCTACTTGAGCAATAGAATTTCCAGTCACTATTACTACATCAAGGCGCTTTTTGGAGAAGGTTGGAAGGTTGTCCGTAATTTTAGTCTTTTATGTCATCTGAGCTACAATTAGTGGGTGCGCAGGCAGATACAGCTTATAGGTAACGGCGAGTGTCCTGATCATTCCGGGTACCTATTATTCCGTTTAGTTGGACAGAGTACAAGCTAAAAGTGTACGAAAATATAGTTTACAGTTGGGTTTCATTAAGTCAGGAATAACATTTTGTGTACTCAAAATGCTAAGCACTAGCGGCGCAACGGGATAAAGGTATACAAGAAGGGTTATTCGTGGAGATAAGATAGGAAATGTAGGAAGGATTGGATTGTGACCAAGTTCATCATGTAGGCATTTATGAGAATGAGGGCAAACGTCACTTCCTGGCTGCCCACACCGTGAAAGGGTATTTCATGGGGAACCTGAGGATGAAGCTGGAATAGCTTTCGTCTTGGCGGTTTAGGAGAAACAGCTCACTGCTGTCACACCCCTCTACAATTAGCATTACAATTCCGCCTTCAGACCTGAATTCACTAATCTCACTCTAACCGTTTTCCTGTCTGGTAGGTTAGAACGTAAAGTAACATGTGTTCCAGCCAATATAGTTCATTTGGCTCTTCACGGTACTCAAGCTCGACCATCATGTCAAAATAACAGCTACAATTGGGAAAAGACCTCTATATTCTAAATTGTTCTACAAAAATATGACCAATTTAACAATATCAGTAATAATAATGAGTTAAATTAAAGCATTTTCTTGATTAGCTTTAAAACTAAACTGACTCGCGATTTTCGGTACTTTCTTTTCACTTCACTTCTATGAAAATGCTTCGATAATTTATTGCAAATTAATTTACATCATATTGCTATTCTTCTTCTTTTTTGTCTTATCTCGTGTTTTTTGTTGTTTTTCTTCAACGCTTCAAATTACTACAGTATCCACAATAGTCTATCATGAATTATTAGATCGATATTATGATTTTGAGCGGAAAGCTGATGTTTATTATGTCTATAATAATATATATCGTTTACTGGTAAGTAAGATGCAAATAATTCTTTTACTTAATTCTCTACCATTTATCTAATTTGTCTATCAGACGATTACTGAGTTAGACAGTCAATCACAATGTAGAAGAACTTTGTACGTACGTACTGAGTTACTCAGTAAAATAGGAAAACCATATCGTAAATCGTTAATTTGCAAATCTTCAATCCATCATCAATCCATTGTCTGACATTTCACTCACTATTCATGCGTTTCATACAAATTCCATTGTGTTTCCACTCTTCTTACTTTCTTGATCTTCCCCCATCTTCTGCTGCCAGACATTACGTTTACACTTGCGTCATAAACTACTTATAAGTAGCGTGCACCACAGTAGGAGATAGTAGAAGAATTAGTGGTAATGGAGAAGATTAGGGTTAGAAGATATTATTCAAGAAGTATAGTTCAGTGAGATAACTTCTGAAAGAGAAAGACAGAAATGATGAAGAATTAGGAATGTTAGAATTTCAGAGAACACAATGAGTGGATGCACCTACACCATTGTAAACGATCTCGTTCAAGGTCTCTAATCATCGGTTACTATTGACTCGCGGACCCCAACCAAGTAGCCTACATCTACCAATAAGACTCAGTCCACTTGTCAGTGACTTCATGGATTTGTGAAATGTTTTGGTTTCGCCACACCTACTCTTATACCACTAAACATGGTTTGTCAAGTCAGTCGGTGGTTAGGCATCCGTAACACATTTGTTAACCACATCAACTGATGAAGTTTCTGATCATGTGTTCTGATCAATGTTTTTTATGAATTAAATATCGATTATATGACTATTCAAAGAAACATATAAATGATACAAAGTGTAATTTAAATGTAGTATGAAGATTGCGGGAGAGATGATTTCACACTTCATAGAATTAGATACAAGGCTACAGCAGACGATGCAGACGAGTTTTGCGAAGATTGGTTTAATTAGAAGGTGATATTTGTCACAGATTGATCGTAATTTGGAAACCAATGCAAACCAACGAGAACTGGTTGTTGGGTACTTTAGATTTCCAGAACTCACTAGATTAAGCTGCTAATTTTGGATCTTGTGTATTCGCGCATGGGCTGATCAGTTGACCTTGAGATTACATTTCCCACCAGGAAAATCCTTGACTGTTATAGGTTGATGTAGTATTTCAGTACGCTAATTTTATGGCTCTCCCGAGGATGTTTCTATCAAGTATAAGTAAACTCGATTTTTGTACTTGTGAAGCTCATATTTTCTAGGTACTTGTAGAATACACTTTCTACTTCTTGTCAAGACTTCTTTCTCTACTTAGTGGAGCTTTGAGATGCTCGGATGAGAATAGTCTATCGTGTTACTGGATCATTTGTCTTTGCCCTTTTGTTAGCCGACTAAGGTGAACTCGTAATAGCATTCAGGCATATCACTTGACGAGCATAACACTAGTGCAGTGCATATATGCAATCTTACCAGGAATCGAATCGATAATGATGCCTTGAGATCAGGTCTTAATTGATAGATTCAACGGTAAGCAATTTCAACACCAATCAATCTGTAATAAGACTATAGTATTTAAAGTGATGCCTTTTCATTTCTGAGTTTCATTGAGAACATCACCGCCGCAATACAAACACGAGTAGTTGACAAGTCCTGAGTAGAACTGAGTTAGCACCTGTGTGAAATAAGTTGATGTAAATTCTATTTCTTCGTATTTATGTAGTCACAGCTCCAGATCATTGTACAAGTCTTAGAGATAATAGATTAGTTTTGTTTAAAAATTCATCATAACAAAGAGGTTAGGTGTTCTAGAGCAATACCGAAGGTCCTGGGTTCGAATCCCGCGAGGTGCAAGAGTCGTGGATGCGCACTGCCATTGATGAGTCCCATACCAGAACGAAACGTCCGTCCAGTGCTTCCAGGTTTATAATAGTGGTCTGACAATGATTGATTGATGATTTAAATATGTAAAAACACTGATCTCCATAACTTTAATTAAGAAAATATGAACGTTAATTATCTCTGTTTTTAAATATATTGAAGCAGTGAAATCCTGCACATCCATTTGTGGTAATTAGATGGATTTGTTTAAAACAGATGGAGTTGACCGATTATGTCTAGGAAAGTTTATCCTACAGACAACCTTGAAAAATACAAGTCGATCATATTTCGATTGCATTCTTGTATTTCCTTGTTTAAAACCAAGAAATGGTCTTAGCTAGACCGTAACTGTAAATCTGGAAGTCATGAATAGCTGTTTTATCCTAGAATTCTTTGGAGATTTGTGTTTTTACACATTTTGAATCATCAATCAATCATTGTTAGACCACCATTAGAAACCTAAAAGCACTGGACGGTCGTTTCGTCCTGATATGGGACTCGTCAGCAGTGCGCATCTACGACTCTCGTACCTTGCAGGATTCGAACCCAGGATTTTCAGTGTTGTGCGCAAACGCCTAACCGTCGGAGCACTAAGCCGGCATCCAACGGTGTTATTGTCTAACTCTGATTGATCTAGGGATTTTGCGCGACCTCACCCATTAGTCTTTGGTAGTTACTGCCTACACCCGACAGGGTTGAACTCCATTGGTCGTGTCTTCTCAACCAGAACTCCGAGAATTTCCTCACGAACAAGGAACAGTTTGAGAGGAATATATTCTATAAACCAATGAACATTGAACAATTTGTTTTCATTGGTTTAAGCTTTCTTCTTAATACTAATTTGTTTTTCATAATGATTCGCATTAACATTTTGATAAACTGAATAAAATTTATTCGATTTTGTGTTTTTTTCTTTGCTCATTTAGCATGAACCGTTTGCTTCGAATATGCCTGAAACTTATTTCAATATGTCACGTTATTTAACGCATATTTTACAATTTGACGATATACCAGAAGTGTCAAAAACGTATCCTTTTTTTGATATACGTGTATACTTTGTCAGTAATGTTTTTTTTAATTTCGTTAACAGTATTGTTCGCTTACATATATTGTTCTGCTATTCACAATAGGAATCTTTACTATTGATAAAATTGCACAAAATATTCATGTTAATATATATTACTTACTTTCGCCTGCTTTCCTCAATGGAGCATAAGCCAACAAATAGCATTCTACAACCTACTCTGTCCTCCGCCTTCCTTTTTAGTTCTGTCCAATCACTGTTCATTCTTCTCACGTCTATCTTCATTTCTTGGCGCAATGTGTTCCGTAAACTTCCTCTTCTCCTATGACCTTGAGGGTTCCGAGTGGGAGCTTGTCGTGTGATGCATTTGTGTGCTTCCCTCAATGTGTGTCTATCCACTCCTAGCACTTACTCATGATTTCTTCCGCCGCTAGAATCTGGTTTTTTCTTTCCCACAGTACGTTGTTGCTGATGGTGTCTGGCCAACGGATGCGAAGTAATTTGCATAGACAACTGTTAATAAACACTTTTATCTTCTGGATGATGGCTTTTGTAGTTCTCCAAGTTTTCACTACATACAGTAGAACTCTCTTGACATTTGCATTGAAAATTTTGACTTTGGTGCTTGCTGAAAGTTGTTTTGAGTTCCAGTTGTTGTTTACTTGTAAAAATTCAGTCCTCGCTTAGCCGATCAGTGCCTTCATATCTGCATCAGATACACCGTGCTCATCAGTTGTGCCGCTCAGATGTGTAATGCTTTTTATTGTGCTTCAAGGCATCCCCAGCAAGCTTTCCCGTAGTCATTGATGTTGATGTAGAGTGGTGAGTTCCATACAATTGATTGTTCCACAACGATTCATAATGTTCCAATTTGGTCGATACACGATCGATCATTACAGGATCCAGCCTGTTGATCTCAAAGTTGTGCGCGTACTGAGTCATATATACACATAACAGTTTTATTTTTTTGTTAGTTCTTGAATTATTAATGCTTGCCCAACTTTCCTGAATACCTTAACTTATGTAAACATTTTCAGTATAGTTTTGTATACTTTAGCAAAACATGGTCGTTTACTAGGAGCATACAAATTAACCAAACTAATCTATAATAAATTACAAACATTGCATATGCCATATGAAATGCGTGATGAAGTAGATTTGGCTTGTATCAATTTGAATTCAGCACCAATGATTGATTCTGAAGTGAGTTCACGTTTGATATCCAAAAGTGTGTGTGTGTGTTTATTCCATGTAGATATTTCAACTATTTTGAATACTGACCTTTTAAGGTAATCATTGTCATTTACTAAGTGCTCTATTGAACTTGTGAATAAACTTTCCAGATATCACATTTGCAGTCCGGTTAAAGATATTCGCATTTGTATTGGCTAATATTTAGTAGAGTTGGTTATATAGATAAATACTCAGTGTTTTGAATGAATGATTGATTACTAGTGTTATAACTCTTCAGAAATTTGAGTAAGAAAAATTATGCAATAAAATTCTAGTTACTTATAAGTAACATAAAATGTATAATATAAATATCAACCTAATGTGGTCATTATATATCAGATATGAACAAGAAAGTAAATGCACAGGTATCGAAAGGTTACATAATATATTTGTATAAATATGAGTAGTTGATAGAATTACTGATTGACATATTCTTGTTCAGAGAAGAATTTTCACTTATGTTCTAGATAATGTCTTTGTTACAGACTTATCATTGGATGAGGATATTGATTCTCTAATCTTTACATTTATATGAATTGATGTCACTTAGCTTGAAATTAATCAAACCACTGGATTCTTTCGATTGGCTTAAAGAACAGCTTTTTTCTAATATATATTTGCATTGTTACATAACATAACTGCTGAGTTTACCGCTAATTTGAATCTCAAACGAACATGAATAATCAGTGTACACATATCCAATGAATTCAGCTTTTGATTACAGAAATCAGCAGTTAAAATAAGGTAGATAATCCAAACGGTAGTAAAAAATTATTGGTATCTAAAGTGGTATTTTCTACTTGTTACAAGTTTCACTACGGTATATGAGAAAGTCTTCAACTTTTGTTATTACTTACTTGCTTATGCCTGTTACGCCTTATGAAAAATAGACCACTGACCAGCATTCTACAGTCTACGCTATCATGTACCATCCTTTCCAGTTCTATCCAGTCGTTGTTCAGTTATTCTCATCTCTGTCTCTATTACTCAACGTATTGAGTTTTCTTTGGTCACCGACTTTTCCTTTGACCTTGAGGCTTCCAAATGTGAGGACTTGTCATTTTTCATCAGAGATATGATAGACAGACAGACAGACAGATACAACGCAGAACTTCGTACATAAGTACATCAGTTCAGGTTGCCATACCAAGTCAGCACAGAGAGGAGGTAACTGTCAGTTCAAATCCAAGAGTGATAGCGATAGTAGAATTATTAGCAGCAATGGAGAAGATTAGGGAGCGAAGATATGATTCAAGATGTATAATTCAGTGAGATGAATTTAGAACGAGAAAGATAGAGATTATGCGGAATTCAGGAGGTTAGAATTTGTGAGAACACAAAGAGTGGATGCACCTGTGCCATCGCAAACGATTCTGAGCGATGTCATTCAAGGTCTCTAACCATCGGTGACTTTCGTCTCGCTGACCCCAACCAGATAACCTACATCTACCAACATGACTCAGTCCACTTGTCAGTGACTTCATGGATTTGTGCCACATTTTGGTTTGGCCGCCCCTAACTTTCTTCCAATCTACTCCTACATCACAAAACATAGCTCGTCGCAGAAGTCGGTGGTTAGGCATACGTAATACATGTCCCAACCACTTACTCACAGATATGACGTATTTCATGAACTCCTCTAAATCCTCGTAAATCATTGTCAAATTAATTCAATGTTAAATCATTCAGATTATTTTTGTTCAATTTTCTTTTTTCTTTTCATTTCAATTAGGATATAAATACTATATGTTATCGATGTTCAGCAACAAATCCTTTATTGAATAGTTTAGGCAATCGATGTATTCATTGTAAAGAACCATTTGTTTATTCATTTATCACTTTCGGTAAGTGTACATTGATTAATAAGCGTAAGCGTATTTAAACTATAAAAATCGATTATGTTGATGACACCGGTCTTCACCTCGAAAGAGTCTGTTAGCTCTCCTTCGTGTACGATTTTGCAGTTGAATCCATCATAAGAATTCCGTATGATGTTAACTATTTTCTCAGGCACACCATAGTGTCGAAGAAGCCTCGAAAGTGTTTTCCTATCCACGCTATCGAATGCTTTCTCGTAGTCGATGAAGTTGATGTAGAGTGGTGAGTTCCATTCAATTGATTGTTCCACAATGATCCGTAATGTAGCAATTTGGTCAGTACACGATCGATCCTTACGAAATCCGGCCTGTTGATCTCGAAGTTGGGCGTCTACGAAGTCCTTCATTCTGTTTAACAATACCCTGTTGAAGACTGCCTGGTATTGAAAGAAGAGTGATGCCTCTGTAGTTCTCACACTTGCTGAGATCGCCTTTCTTTAGCATTTTGAAGAGGTATCCTTCTTTCCAATCTGATGATACTTGTTCCTCGTTCATTAATATAACTGATAGATTAAAAAATCAATAATTTTGTCAAACGAACTAAGTTGATGCATCGATCATGCATCTACGGTGGTAGTCGATGTTTCAAGTGATCTGAGACAACTGCAGACAATCAATAGGATTCCATGAACTGAGATGCTTTTACCATAGGTAACACGTGCTTCCCCTCGAGACAGTAATCATTCCTAGTTGCAGTTAGTACACGAATTAGGCAGGACTGAGATTTTCGTGATGAAAATGCCAACTCTAATTCCTAATGCTTACATCCATTTCGAAATCCTATTCGTAATTGTTCCCATTAGTTTAGAACCCATCTGATATGTGGGTATGTATGTGGGTAAATATTCTCAAGGTCATTTGGGAATCGCTCAAAGGTCATTCATTAATGATAGTCTTACAAATTGTTTTGACGATTTCTTATTTTTGATTTGGTGGTTATTGAATAGAACGAATGCCCTGATCGCTGATCTATATTGTAGGATTACTGCGTCTTTTAATGTATTTAAAATACGAATTGACACGAGATTGTAGAGCACATCACAATCAGTACAATCTAATTTGTAGGCACAAATCTGTGCAGATAAGAAGAGGATATTTTCGTTAATTCGTACGAATGTATACCGAAGAGTGTTGGTTATTTTATAGAAAGTTTTAATTCTGTATATTTTTAAAAATGAATTATAACCCTTAGCAAAAAGGTGAAAATAGCTGGCAGCGGAATCCAGGACGCGTGTTTTATTCTATTTCGAACCCATCCGCTAGATATACCTACATCACAGATGTGACTTTCACTACGGGACTAGAACTCAGTATCGTTCGCCTCAATCGACAACTCATTACCCACTTAGCGACAGAGTTCCGATAGTCACTAACTTATGCAACGGATGTGAGATTTGCATTCAATTTGAAATTCAGTCAAACAATGTTGAATATCTCAATTCATTTTTCCATATTCATTTGTGTGATACATATCAATCCAACGATGTTAATTAATGTCGAACTCTGATCAATATACAGATTTTTTGAGACTTCACTCATTTGTCTTTGGTAGGTTCTGCCTATACTAGACAGAGTTGAACTCCACTGGTCACGTCTTCTCACTAATAAGTCTCATACCAGAAGGAAACGGCCGTCCAATGCTTCCAGGTTTTTAATAGTGGTCTAACAATGTGCAAAAAACACTAGTCTCCATAACTCTAATTGGAAAAGATCATTTACATATTATCGAACCAAACGTTTATGCAAACTGCCATTAAGGTTACCTCCTAAGATCTTGTTTGGTGGGCTGTACCTTTGGTCTTTCCACATGATCACATATCCTGCTGTCCTTAGGCCCTCCATCAACTCCACAACATTAAAAACATAACCTGAACATTGTCAGTGATCAAGAAAGCGTTTATCCCATTATCCAGTTGATGAGAAATCTTTGGTGAATGATGTTTGTGAACCAAAAAAAAACATCTACTTTTTGTATTTTTTTTAATTTAAAACAGAACAAATGCCAATCGTTGAATTTATTCCAGAAGATAATTTATCACATGAAGAAGTAATAAATAATTTACAAACTGAACTACCATCATCAAGCAGAAATTTAAAAAATGATACTATAAACAATATTGAATTGAATCATGATTGTAAGTTTGAATAGATTACTGGTAATATGTTTCTTCGTTAAATATGAAATTTGAAGATAAATTTGACAATTAGTCAAATAGGATGTAATACTTAGTGGTGGTATTTATGCATATAAGTTCAAGTTGACATGACCTAGTTAGCATGACGAGATGAATTTTTTACAAGGCGAATTTCAGAATTGTAGAACTTGTAACAGTATAATTGATAACTGTAAGTAATTAAAGATACAGTTCTAGAAGAAAATATAATTTAATCTTATTATAAACAAAAATTGATAAGGAATTTAGGAGCTTAGGATCTAAGGAAGGATAAAGAGTGAAGCATCGCTCGTATATCCTGGGACAACCAAGTGAACAATGCTGTCATTAGGAAACGAGTACTAGGTAGGGATGTCAAATCAATAGATGAAGTAGTGAAACTTCATCAGTTGAGGTGATTGGGATATGTGTTGCGTATGACTAACCACCGACTGCCCCGTCGAGTTATGATTTGTGGTGTAGGAAGAAAGCTAGGGGCGGCCAAACCAAAAAATAGAACAAATATTTGAAGTCATTGACAGCTGGACTGAGTCATGTCGGTAGTTGTCGACTACCTGGTTGGGGTTCGCGAGATGATAATAATCGATGGTTAGAGACCCTGAGTGACATGGCTCAAAACCGTTTGCAATGAAACAGGTACAACCACTCTTTGTGTTCTCAAGAATTTTTTTCTTCTTAATTCCTCATTATTTCTCTCTTTCTCTTTCCGAATTTATTTCACTGAGTTTTACTTATTGAATAATTTCTACTATCTCTATCACTGTGGGATTTGAATCGACATTGGAATCACTAATCTATCATGGTATGGCAACCTGAACGTATGTACGTACGTACGAATCTCTTCGTTGTATTTAACTGACTGACTGACATAGAGTGAATGTACCTGCCCTATTTCGAACGATTTTTAGACGCATCACCGAAATTCTCTAACTATTAGTGACAATTATCACGTTGACCTGAACTAGGTAGTCGGCACCTACTATCACAACTCAGTCCAAAAGTCGACGTTTTCATGTATTGATAATATGTTTTGGCTTGGCCATTCCTAGCTTTCCTCCAGACAACTTTCACCTTAGCCATCACCGTCTGCCGATGATAGCTGGTGAGTCAGTAGAAGTAAAACATATCCAAATCACCATCTCAGTTGATAAAGATTCACTATTTTACTAACTGGTTCGCTACCTTTACATAGTACTCTCTGTCTAATCTCAGAATCGCTAGTCAAATGGTCTCAAAATATTAGAGCAACACTCCAAAGAAACCCATGATCAAAGTATTTTTAAGCACCATGTTTTCCAGCCACAAAGTAGAACAAAGAGAACTGTTATGTTGGATATCTCACCTAGACTACTAGTAATGCAATTTGATAAAAAAAACCGGGTTTTCGGAATTAACACTGAGATTTTTTCGTAAACGGATCCACATAGGCTGATTAAACTTTTAATATAGGGAGAAATGATCGATATACTCAACTAATGCACTTCCTATCCTTAGTTCAAGCAGTGGCAAAGACCGATCCTGTGGCAGCGTTTCATATTTAAGGGGAAAGAAATCAATCCTGAGGAGACTTAAAATATTGCTAAGGTGGTCAAAAGATTCCGTATTTTGAGGTAGCGAAGATTTGTAGCTCGAATGGATGATTTTGGTGGAGTTTCGTTCTCTGAGCTAGATAGTTTTGACGTGAAGCATTCACTTTCCATCTAAAAAACTTCATCAAAAACTTCAGGTAGCCAACCCACACACATCAAGTTCTCAGCTACACAAAGACTCATAAAGTCAAATGCTACAAACTCTTTTCAAAATAACGAGAACGCACTGCGCAGAAAAACGAAAAAATAGTTTAAAATGACTCTTTTTTCAAAAACAAACTACTATCCATTGCTATTCGTCCAACGCATTAGCCAAAGGATAATCAAATATGGCAACCAACGCAATAAATCATCTTACTACATGTGGAAAATATATCAAAGATTACCAATGAGGTTATTGTAGCCATTTGGAATAAATTTAACACATTAACCAGTACAATCGCGTCAATTAATCATATGTGAACAAAAGGACAAAATGACAAAAGAATAAAAATTGAACACCATCTGCAAAATAACTTGTTCCAATTGTGACAAACACTACATTAAACAAATTGGACGCCTTCTTCATCTTCACCTTGATAAATATCAATCAATTAGCGGTCAGCCACCAAAAAAAGTCTTCACTTATATCAATGTATGTATAGAATTGTGGACACGTTTGAATGGAAAAAATGTTGATATTTTATATAGTGGGCGTACTAAGAACACTAGAGGAGCTTTAGAAGCTTGGCATTCAGGTCAGTCAGTAGTGAACAAACACATCGAAATTGATCCAGCTTATCAGTCAATCAGTAATATCATGGATAAATATGAGAGCACGATCAAGTCAAAGTAAGATACAATCAGAATAAATAAAAATGAAGATAATGTTAGGTTAAAGGTCGACAATAACCAATGAAGATCTTATTGGATAGGACAAGTTGTTAGTCATCTGTGGAGAAATTTGAATATCTCACTTTTACCCAAAGTTTCCACCGATGATATTTCGAAGAACAATCAAATCGTCATGAATACACCATCCAGCTCAGAAAGCAAAACTCTGCCAAAAAAACTCTACATTTCATCAGCGACTTCATCTGCATGCTCTAAATCAACAAGTGAATTTTCTGGCTCAAGGCCAACTTCTAAAATGTCAGCTATGAGGGTGTTATCTCTGAAGGTATATTTACGATAAAGTTAAATAAAAATGAGGAGAATGGAGAACCCTGAGGATCGTCATAAGCTCTGACTCAACTAGCAGTTAGTATTCAAGTAGAGAGCGGTTACAATGTTGATGTACTACTTACGTACGCCTTTTAGTGAAAGAAACTTCCAACAAACCTTTCGATCCACCGAATCGAATACTGCCTTACTGCTCCAGAATTTGGGAAGTTGCGAAGATTAGTTACGTCATAAAGTGATTTTATTTTAGGCAGTCAATAAAAGCAATAAAGCACCAAACAGTTGTTTTACTTCACTTTAGAACTCAATAACAGTTCACAACCACAACCTTACTTTAGAATTAACGGGAACTAGTTGTATAATCTGCTGCATGGCCAGTCTAAAAAGAGTGATCCGGTTTTCGGACCTGTTACATGTCGATTGCCAAAATGAATGCTTTAACTGCTATACATTTGATATACACATATATACATTAAGTTATCAGTTTTGTTTCTTCATATTTTTTTCAGATTCACAAATACTTAAAATAACTCATGAACAACAAAATGGATCATTAGAACAAGATCCATTTGTGGCTAAATTATTAAATTCCGATGTAAGTTCTCGATCATTATACTGATTGATTTTTTTTAAAGTTTATAGCAAAAGATAATTTTATGTTGCACATAAAAGTCAAGCAACCAGCGAAAAAGTGGGACTTCTTACATGTACGTACATCAGCTTACGTTGCCATACCGCATTAGCACAGAGATTTAATTGTCGAATCAAATCCCATGGTGGTAGAGGTAGTAGAAAGATTAGGGTTTGGAGACGTTATTCAAGGAGTATAATGTAAAGGAATAAATTTGATAAGAGAAAGATGAAGGTGATGAGGAATCCATATTAGAACACGAAGAGTAGATGCACCTGTGCCACTGCAAACGAATTTGAGCCATGTCATTCAAAGTCTGTAACCATCGGTTTCTGTTGTTTTACGGACCCCGATCAGATAGTCTTTACCTGCCAACATGACTCAGTTCACTTGTAAGTGATGTCATGGATTTGTGCCATGTCATCAGTGGCTGTTTAAATGCTCTGTACATAAACACACCTTGAAGTAAAGCGTTCTTCTCATACGTCCCACCTTTTCTTTTGTGTTCAAGTAGCAGTGTAGGTTTAATCGAGGGTTATTATAAGTGGATCGGAAATCACATCTTGGGTCCATTCGATAGACTTATCAGTATCAGTGCTCATTTCTTTCGTATCTAATATTACAGTCCTAAAATTTCAGTCCATTGTATTGCAAGAAGCATAGTGTAAAATGAGTAAGCTTAACACTTATAATCATAACCTACGCTAATCTTTCTACCATCGATTTACGATTCTTACTGAGTATATCAAAACAAGGAAATTTATCTTATCGAACATGAAATTATATTCAGTTGGTTCTTTGAGAAACAGGTGACAATGAAAATTTAAAACCAACATTTTATTCATTTAACAATTAAATCTAAAGAAAAGAGTTTTCAAGTGATGTATTTTTAATATCGTGCATGTATCATCTTGTGCCTGAAAAGTTAAAGACCAATTTCCTAACAGCTATTTAGCCTTTAAAATCCTTCTCCTTTTGATCGACAGACGTCACCTAGAAGGTGTAAACATGAAAAAATCATTACTTCCGAGGTTGTATTATGTAAATACAACAACGGTATTGATAAGATTATGCATAACCTTGATTCCCCAGAAGTTCTCGTAAACCATGCCAAAAGTGGCCACACTCAATCGTTTTCTAGGTATCTCACGTAATTTTTTATAGAATATCGATTGGTCAAAGTACTTTCAGAATTTTGTGCACGTTTAAATCATTATTAGAGCATCATTAGAAACCTGGAACCACGCCTGCACGTAAACACGTCAACTTGATATGCTTGAACTATTACGAGTTTACCTAGTCTTAAAACGAGAGCGAGGATCCGGCGACACGACATGCTATTTGAATCCAATTATTCCAACCAGCATATTGAGAAAAAAGTAAGAAGATATGATATGAAGTAGAGCCTGTATTCTAAAAGCATTCGGAAAGTACGAGGTCCGAGTCCAGAAGAGAATCAGGATCCCAGACTAGGGATCCTGGACCGGGTCCTGATCCTGGTGATAAAACGTTACAGATAATGCGTATTTATACATTTAGGTCGAATAGGAAACAGCATCGAAGTCTTTGACATTGACAGTTAAGACGACCAATAGGAAGCAACACTTGAAGTGACATTGGTAGTCAGGACAACCAATAAGAAACAACATTGGAGCACGTGACTTTGATATCTAGGACGATCATAAAATTGACCTTTAGGAATTAAACAATAGGAACTGACCAATAATTCTCTTAGGATATTGGATGAATATCCTAACACACTGGACGGCCGTTTCGTGGTCCCAATGTGGGACTCATCAGCAGTGCGCATCCATAACTCCTGAACCTTGCAGGATTCGAAGCCACGACCTTCGGTTTTGCGCGCGAACATCCAGCCTCTGGACCATTAGGCCGGCATCCAATGGTGTTAATGCCTAACTTTGATTAATCTAGGGATTTCGCTTGACCTTTCAGAATTAACGTGACTTTTATACATGACTCTGAACAGTACACTAAATTGGTTATTATTTTTCTATCTTATTTAGTCTGAAATATATTTCCGTTAATTCTAATTACTTTTTTGTATGAAGAGTATTTTTAACTGTAATTAATGTCTACTGTTATTTTTTGTCTCGTTTCAGCTTATTTCTGAAACATATTCACCTGTCCAATTAGATATTGCTACATTACAAGCAATTCCTTTCAATGAAGTCATTATTGTCAATAATCCTCCATTAAAACCACGTTATTACAAATCAGTTTTACCGGATGTTAGCATTACACAATGTAATGTTTGTCATAAGGTGAGGAGAATAATCTATGCCATATTATACTAGAATAAGATGTGTGTTTTGTGTGTTTTGACAAAAAAGTATTTCATGTGAAAATTTGCGGTTGACATTATTAACTGGCTTCATTTAGGCACACACTGAAAACCAAGTGAATTTGGAAATCTGTCTTTGACTGAGTATGAAACGTTTTCAATAGTATACAGTTACCAGTTGTCAAATGTTCGGTTCAGACTCTTTATGTCACTCTGTGAAGGCGATAAATTTAGACCTACTTACTTACTTACTTTCGCCTGTTACCCCCAATCGAGCATAGGCCGCCAACCAGTTTTCTCCAACCAATTCTGTCCTGGGCTTCCCTTTCCAATTCTGTCCAATTACTCTCTATTTCTCGGCGTAATGTGTTCCTTGGCCTTCCTCTTTTCCTTTTGCCTTGAGGGTTCCATGTGAAGGCTTGTCTCGTGATGCAGTTAGATGCTTTTCGTAGTGTGTGTCCTATCCACTTCCACCGCTTCTTCCTGATTTCCTCCTCCACTGGAATCTGGTCTGTTCTTTCCCACAGTACGTGGCTGCTGATGGTATCTGGTCAACGAAAACGAAGTATTTTGCGTAGACAACTGTTAATAAACACTTGTATCTTCTGGATGATGCCTTTCATAGTTCTCCATGTTTCTGCTCCATACAGTAGAACTGTCTTCACATTTGTATTGAAAATCCTGATTTTGGATTTGGTTGAAAGTTGTTTGGAGTTTCATATATTTTTCAACTGTAGAAATGCAGCCCTTGCTTTGCCAATCCACGTCCTCACATCTGTATCGGATCCACCTTGGTTGTCGATGATGCTGCCAAGATATGTAAAGGTGTTAACGTCCTCCAAGATCATTGAGTTAAAATCCAAAGTGGTCCACACTGTTAATTTCAGTCTATAAGATACTCATTGGTACAGAGTCCTAACCTACGCAGTACTCCTTTGTTTTAAGTGAATGTTTTATTGTAAAGTCAGTCCATGGTGTAAAGTGTCTGGCTGTTGCATCATCGAAATTTTTTTTGAAAATGACAGTAAATGTGTTGTTCTACAAAGAACTACTTACTGTTCACAGTCTGATAGTAATTCTGTAGTATAAAGTAAGAGAATGAGTAAGTAATTATTGGACAATCGCTTCAGCGTTGTTTATGACTTGTCGTTTTAGAAATCTTTACCTGATCGAATATCAAAGCATTGAGACCTTTAGGTCAGGTACGATCACGTTAATATTTTATGTTTATGAAGTGTGCAATTAATGACTGGTTAATTATCGAACTATATGAGATTTTATTCAAAAATGCAATAACGGATAGGTTCAACTGTTTGAATAGTAATCTATTTCAAAGAAAAGCCACCACAATCATCCGCCTGAGCTACAAATTTTCTCCACCACCTCAAAATCCAGTGATTAAACAATACCGTTCAAATATCAGAACTATTCTCATCGGGTTTCATTTCTGAACTATCTTCTAAAGTATAGATTATTGCTTTCAAGGCATAATTCTGATCTAACTCATAGTCAAGTGCTAATTGTCAGATTATCTGTGTTGTGCAATCAGTCTTGTTTGAGAGATTTGGCCATCACCACGTAGAGAATATGAAAGTATTGTTAGATAACTGGAGATAGTCAAATGAGAAAACATCGAACCAGGTTTCGAGCTACCTAATACTTGCTGAGTCAGCATCGAATCATGTTATTGTCTAACTTTGATCAATCCAGGGATTTTTTGCAACCTCACCCATTGTCTCCTGTAGTTACTTGTCTAAATTCGATAGGGTTGAACTCTACTAACGGTCTAACAATGATTAATTTTCGGGCAGAGTTTTTGGAGGTTTGTGTTTTAACACATTTGAAATCATCAATCAATCATTGTTAGACCACCATTAGAAACCTGGAAGCACTGGACGGCCGTTTCGTCCTGGCATGGGACTCATCAGTAGCAGTGCGCATCCACGACTCCTGCACCTCGCAGGATTCAAACCCGGGACCTTCGGTATTGTGCGCGAACGCCAAATCATCGGACCACTGGGCAGGCATCCAACAGTGTTAATGTCTAACTCTGATTGATCTAGGGATTTTGCGCGACCTTACCCATTTGTCTTTGGTAGTTATTGCCTACTCCCGACAGGGTTGAACTCCATACTGGTCACGTCTTCTCAACTAGAACTCCGAGAATTTCCTCACGAAGCTAGTAGTCACTAGTGAGCACTGTTACGATGTTTTCGGGCAGAGTTTTTGGAGGTTTTCTGTTTTTACACATTTGAAATCATTATTTCAATGAAAAACGTCATTAAACTTCTGTTATGAAATAATATTTATTCCTTTTAATTTTTAAAGTGTCTTCAACTGATATGAAAAGTTTTGAAATGGAAAATTCTAAATTGTTATTCTTTTCTATTACCGGTTTTCTGATATTCTTTAACAGTTATTCTACACTGAAGACTATGAACTAATCTCATTACAACAGGGTCGTTGTCCATATTGTCATACAACAAGAGAATAAAAACACAACAATTTCATCTTTCTTTAACGCACATACACGTAGATTCATTCATGTAAACAAATCACTTGAAAAGAACGAAAAACACACACCATGTGTATTGATAATTGAATATTGAAAAATAGCGTAAACATTCAACTTTGAAGCATAGCGTAAACATTGAACATTGTACAATCAAACTATGAAAAAAATTAACTTTTGAATTCTTCGCTTTTTTTGTATTGAATGAAATTTAATTTAAAGAATTGAATATAGACAGTGACTTATTTAATTAAAAAATATTATTTGATGATTAGTCAGTCTCCTGTAACTTGATAATGATGAATTATGTTTTTGACAAGTTGTAAAAATTTATTTATCTATTGTATGTGTGATGTGAAATTGAACTTTGAAAAAATATTTTGCGACATTCTTTATTTAATTCGCAGTATTTGATAATATAATTCATTTGAAACATGGTGTTTACATGGTGGAACTAGCTTAATTGAGTAAAAAGTATGGGTTAAAGTTTGGATAGTACAAAAAAATATCGTTGTGTTAAACAATGATCTCTATAATAATTCTACACTGGAAAATCAAAAATTTGCTCACTATAGAGACTAGCTTCATGAAGGAATTCTTGAAGTTCTAGTGAGAAGATGTGAACAGTGGAGCTCAGCCTTGTCGAGTGTAGGCAGTTTTAACTACCGAAGACAAAGAGTGGGGATGCGCAAAATCATTAGATTGATCAGATTTACACATTAACATCATTTAGCGCCGACTCAATGGTCGAGAGTCTTGGCATTCACGCGTAAGACCATAGTTCCTAGGTTCGAATTCTGTGAGCAGCAGGAGTTGTGGATGCGTACAGCTTATGAGACTCAAACCAGGATGTAACGGCCATTCAGTGCTTCTAGGTTTCTAATGGTGATCTAACATGATCTTAATTTAAAGCTATAGGCCTTCATCGAAATGTGCATTATATATTACTAAAATAGGTTAGAAGAAGTTTTGTAGCTTGGGATCTGAATCCAGTTTATAGGATCAATTGAATATACTATGAAATAAATCTTCCATTTAATTTCCGTACATATTACATTTAAGCTAATTCTGTTTGTTTGATGAACGTAATGAAAACCCCAATACGCTGCTAATTTGGATTGAATTTATTTCGTTCAATCGGGTGTGTAGATAGGCATAAGAATGATTGGCTTAAAAGCGAATGGGTCAACTCTATTTGATTAGGCATTCCTTAAGTGAAGTAAGCAATGCACACACCGAAACAAGAATGGTCAAGGTCATCAGCAAATAACTGTCAAGGTCAAATTATGTGAACGATGATCAGGAAGAAAACAGATTTATTAGTTTATACCAAGGTTAGAACAGATTATATTGGCCTGACATAATAGTGAAAACAGTAGAAAATCATCGATTGATATATCCGGTTATGTCAAGTTACAACGTAGAACTTCGTACGTATGTATATCAGTTCTAGTTGCCGTACCACATTAGCACAAAGACGCAATTGTCGATTCGAATCCCATAGTAGTAGAGATAGTAGAAGTATGGGCAGTAATCGGGGAGATTAGGGTTCGAAGAGGTTATTCAAGAAGTAGAATCTAATGAAACAAACTTTAAAAGAAAAGATAAGAGTGATGAGGAATTCTGAAGGTTAGGATTTGAGAAAACACAAAGAGTGGATGCACATGCGCCACTGCAAACAATTCAGTGCCATGTCGTTCAAGGTCTCTAACCATCGGTTACTATCGTCTCACGGACCTCAACCAAGTAGCCTAAATCTATCAACATAACTCAATCCACTGGTCAGTGACTTCATGGTTTTCTGCCATATTTTAGTTTGGCCGCCTCTAGCTTTATTCCCACACCACAAAAATTGTTCGGCGAGGCAGTCAGTGGTCAGGCATACGTAATATATGTCCCAACCACCTCAACTGATAAAGTTTCAATACCTCATCTACTGATCTACCATCCTTACCTAGTACCCGCTTCCTAACGACTGCATGGCTTACTCGGTTGTCCCACGATACACAAGCAGTGCTTCGGAGACACATACAGTTGAGGACCAGTAACTTACGAATATCCTTTACTCTGACTGGCCATGTTTCACAGCCCTAAAATAGAACGGATCGAGCTGCTGGGCTGTAAACTCACCCTTTGGTTAGCAGATGGATATCTCGCCTACGCCATAAATGACTCAAGTTAGCCAAAGCCAATCGAGCCTTCTATATCCATGGTGAGATTTCGTTAGTCACCGGGCTATCAGCACTGTTGAGACTCGTCAGATAAATGAAGCGGTTGACAGTCTCAACTGCTTCACTCCCTATTACTAGTTCAAGTGCCGATGCAAGCCAATATTGAAGCAATATTTTGCATTTCGAAGGAGAGAACCGCATCCCGAACATGCTTGCATTGTTTCTTAGGGTAGTCAGAGAACTCTGAATTGTCAATGTCTTCTCCTAGTAGAACTATGTCATCGGCATGATGAATTGAAATCAATAAAACAATTTAAATGAAATCTAAACTATATGGTCAGGTAGATAAACGAAGTTCCTAATTATACTACTTGTTAGTAGTTTATATTGAATCGAAAATTTATAAAATGAACAGTGTAATAAAGAAGTTATTTCACATAATTCTTTTTAATCAGAATAATGTTTGCAGAAAATAGAAAAGCGTAATATAGTATCATTTTTTATTAATAAAGGGTTATATTAGAGAACATCTATTATCCATAGGATTAGGTTAATGACTGTGAAAATGATTGGTAATGGGTGGTACGGCAACATAGTCTAACGATATGTTCATTATTGATGAATACTATGAGTAAAAATGATATTTTAAATAGTAAGAAAAAGTTTCAACTCTACAGCCTACTTTTTTTATATAAAAGAATGTTTTACACTGAGTAATCCATCAACTTCAGTGCTATCATAGACTGTGAAATACTGAAATTAGTAATGAATTATTGTTAGACCACCATTAGAAACCTGGAAGCACTGGATTGCGGATTCGTGACCCTGGTATGCGCCTCATCAGCGGTGTTGATAAGTAATTCGGAGGATTCGAGCTCAAGACCTTCGATCTGACGCGCTAACGGTTAACCTCCGAATCAATGACTCGGCATCTAACGGTGTTACTGTCTAACTCTGATCAATCTAAGACCGAAGGTCCTAGGTTCCAATCCAAAGAGTAGTAGAAGTCGTTTATGCCTACTGATAGTGAGTCTCATACCAGGAACATGAAACAGTTGTCCATTGTTTCCAGGTTTCTAATGGTAGCCTCACGATAATTAATTCGTAATTTCAATGTAAAACGAAGATCTCCATAATTACTTACTGACTTACTTACGCCTGTTACCCCCAATGGAGCATAGGCCGTCAACCAGTTTTCTTCAACCAACTCTGTCCTATGCTTCCTTCTCCAGTTCTGTCCAATGCTTGTTCTCTCATATCTTTCTCTATTTCTCGGCGTAGTGTGTTCTTTGGCCTTCCTCTTTTCATTTTGCCTTGAGGGTTTATGTGAGGGTTTGTCTCGTGACGCAGTTAGGTGCTTTCCACAGTGTGTGTCCTTTCCACTCCCACCGCTTCTTCCTGATTTCCTCCTCCACTAGAATCTGGTTTGTTATCTCCCACAGCACGTTGTTGCTGATGGTGTCTGGACAACGAATCCGAAGTATTTTGCGTAGACAGCTGTTAATAAACACTTGTATCTTCTGAGTGATAGCTTTCGTAGTTCTCCATGTTTCCTTTTCATACAGTAGAACTGTCTTGACATTTGTATTGAAAATCCTGATTTTGGTTTTGTTTGAAAGTTGTTTGGATTTCCAGATATTTTTCAACTGTAGAAATGCAGCCCTTGCTTTACCAATCCGCGCCCTCACATCTGTATCGGATCCACCTTGATTGTTGATGATACTACCCAGATATGTAAAGGTGTTAATGTCCTCCAAGGCATCCTCATCAAGCGTGATTTGCTTGGTGCATGTTGTGTTGCATCGGAGAATTTTGCTCTTTCCTTTATGTATGTTGAGACCTACTGCTTCAGAGGCTGCTGCTGCACTGGTCGTCTTCTCCTGCATTTGTTGTTGCGTGTGCGATAGAAGAGCCAGATCATCTGCGAAGTCCAGATCGTCCAGCTGCGTCCCAACTGTCCCACTGATACCGTTAAGTTCTTTCATGGACTGTGAAATACTGAAATCATGAATCAATCATTGTTAGACCGCCATTAGAAACCTGGAATCACTGGATAGCCACTTTGTGATTCTGGTATGGGACTCATCAGCGGTGTTGATAAGTAATTCGTAGGATTCGAGCCCATGACCTTCGGTCTCACGCGCTAACGCTTAACCTCCGGATCATTGACTCGGCATCTAACAGTGTTACTGTCTAACTCCGATCAATCCGAAGACCTAAGGTCCTAAGTTCCAATCCAAAGAGTAGTAGTAGTCGTTGATGCCTACTGATGATGAGTCCCACCCATACCAGGACCACGAAACAGCCATCCATTGTTGCCAGATTTCTAATGTTGTTAGCCTAACAATATAATTCATTCATAATTTCAATGTAAAACAACGATCTCCATAATACTATAATGCAAAAACTGTGAAATTCATAAAATATTGTTTTCGTTGAAAAATTGTTTACTGGACTGTCTGATTTCAATGAATATAACGAATGACGTAGGCTGAAATACATTATGATTATTTTTTTCGATTTTGTTTCAATATCTAACGAATAATTTTTTGTATGATACACATAATGAAATTGAACTTTGAATTATCAAACAATAATTCGGTGCAAAGAAAAACAAATGTATCGTAATGGTTGTTTTGTACCAAGGAATTATGTTATTTTTATCCTAAGATTTTGTAAAATAGGTAACTTCTCTCTCTAGTTAAAATGAATATTATAATTAATTTGTAAAGAAAATGCTAAATTTTTTTTGTGCAAGTACAAAATCAATACAATACTTAGTTAGACATTGAACATTGAACGAATGAATGTCTGCATTCTTATCACCACATACTTTATCAAATAAGTGACTGCGTCATCACGGAGACAAAAAAAACCTACTACTAATATTATGAAGTACGAAGTGTACTTCACTTTGTTACACAGTGATAATTTAAAAATCCCCAGAATAAATAAACTTTGTTCATCAGTTTCATCAAGAAAAAAAAAGTTGCGAAATAAGTAGCGATTTGAACATTGAACAATGAATTAATTATCAGCTCGCGCTTTTGTTTTTGAAAATATATAAATACTGATGAAATTTTGGCTATTTTTCAACTATTTGTTAAACAAATTAACAAAAAAAGAAAAATACTATGCTAGGAAAAATTTTCCTTTTATTTTTTATCTTGGGTAAGAAGAATGTTATGATGCTTTATGGTTAATTTATTTTTATTCATTTAATAGGTGTGAATGAAGTAGTGGTCAACGGAAATGAAGATATTGTAAGTCTGAATGAAATTTTGTACGTTAAAAAGAAGTAAATGAGAGTTATTTATTTGAGATTAAGTCTACATTTCATGATTATTCATAAATGTTTATATTTGTGATATTATTGAATTAGATATAGATTGACAATTGAATATCAACGTCTGAAGTATCATTGTTTTAAACATTTACTATGTACATTTACAATATTTTTGCGAATTTAATTGTTGAATAATTAAACCAGTACCACTATAATGATTGGTAAACATTTTCTCAGTAGAAGAAAACTACAGGCAATTACCATAGAATTCATCAAGTCAGTCTATTCGTAGGTGACGCTGAGTGTAAAGATGTTTGATAGATAGTTATATATATTTGCGAAATCTGATTGAGTAAAAATTTGTATTTCTGATGCTTTTTTGTTACACAGTTTAAACTAGAAAATTCTCTATATTGTGGTGATGTTTCATTCTCTGAACTGAATGTTTTGGTTGAGGGGCTTTCATTGTTCTTCTACTGAACAACATCATCAGTATGAACTTCAGATAGAACTGAAGTTTGACTTGTAACTTGTTCTGTTAATCTCGATCTTGATTGGTTGCTTTTGACCTTAAATCTGTTGTTGTTTGCAGTCAAAACAAAGTTTCAAGAACAATGAAAGCTCCACAACCAAAACATCCAGCTCAGAGAACGAAACATCACCAAAATTATCCACCTGAGCTACAAATTTTCTCCAACATTTCAAAATCCTTTAAATCGATAACTTTTTTTAACATAATGACTGAAATTCTCTTTTTCATTCATTGAAATATCACAGACATATATATACATATATATATATATATATATATATATATATATATATATATCGTTGTTTTATTAACAACATTCTGTTCATTGTTCAATTTGATTGAAATTACCAAATCTAATCTAGACAGTGATACTTATAGTTTTCTTGAACATTTATGAAACAAGAACTTTGTTGCAATTTAACATATAATCTGTACTAGGCATACCTAACAGCAATCCAACCAATGGTATTGAATATAGCCAGTATTCTTCATTTACTAATGTGTAAGATGACTTGTTTTTCAGTTCCTATCATCATTATGAAGGGTATTTAAAGGTATTTTTATTTATTCTATGAATCTTTTAGGTATTTCGTTCACAATTGAAAAGACCAGAATGTCATTTACGTAAGACTTGATTTACTGTTTTTTTGTTATAGATAATATCGAGTTATGTTTTTTTTTAAAAAGCTTGATCTATAAAAAAGGGTAAAACACTGTATTTCATATGTTGTAATATAAAAATATTGACCGTTGAATTTTATTTGAAATGTTAATCATGAGAACTTTGAGTTGATTTTTAAATCTTCATTTTAAATTCAATTAACCGCAATGTGGTCCAATGTTCAATACCGATTGAAAGTGATCAATGTGATGCGTTTAATTTTCGTGTATTATTTATTAGTTAGTAGTTAAATTCATGGATGAAATCGGCGAAAATACTCCACCTATTATTCATTTAGCTATGATAGAAAATAGTGAATTACATTCAACTGTCTACTATTTAAGACGAAAATAAGTGAATTATTGTTTTTTTTAATGTATTTAACAATACTACTTTAAGTAATCAGTTTAGTTAGAGATAGAATATGTAACACGTTGTAATTTTAAAAATGACCATTGTCTACTGGCGGAATCATCAAATTTTGACCTCTGGTTTAGGATATATGTACATGAAGTATCTGCTTAACCATTTTCATAAATGAGATTGTATGCCTATAATACAATAATGTTTCGATTAGTCGCGGAAGATTTTCTCTTGTCTAAAAATGTAAACCTGTGTCTCATCTATACAGTTTATCATGTAAGATAATGAAGTATACAGTAGTCAGATTATTGATGATTGCTTCTTGATTGATTGAAAGTACTTTTTCAAATAAATACCTGTCTATTACTATTCATCACACAGTTCGCGAAAGTGACTGAGTCTAGAAATGTATGCTGTTAAACTTCAGCATAATAATCTAAAATTCATGTTCATATTAATACATTTGAAATCATTAATCAATCATCACTGTTAGACCACCATTAGAAACCTGGAAGCACTGGTGGTCTAACAGTGATGATTGATTAATGATTTCAAATGTGTAAAAACGCAAACCTCCAAAACTGCGCCCCAATATATCATATTAATACATCTGAAGTCTTTGTGCTTGATTAATGAAGAGGCCTTAAGTAATAAGACAAAACACTTATACAGTATTCAAAATCTTCAATTCATATTCGCTGTTTTTCACTTTCAGTATGTGGATTGTGTAAATGTGTCGGAAGAGTAACAAAGATATTCCTTGAATACGAACCATTCATTCCAATAATGTCCAGAATATTTGCTCCATTGTGTGAAGTTCTTCCTCAGGAGCATTGGAGAAATGAGGTAGTACACTAATTTATTATTGAAGTTTATTTTTTTTTATAAACTATTGACAATTGAATCTTCAGTGGTGACACAGAAATAAGTAATTGTTAGTAGTATATATCAGAGCATAAAAATTATAAACTGATGTAATATTTTATATGAAATGAAGTAAATTAATTTAGAGCAAAAGAAACAGCATATTTTTATACTGATAAGTTGTTTCAAGTAAATATTTTCTGAGTGTACATTGTAGACTGTATAAAAATTGAACATTTAATATTCTGGGGGATCTATTATCCCATTTAAAAGAACAGAATCGTTGATTTGAGGAATAATTGTAATAGCTTGATATTAATCAATAAGAGAGCTTGGAATATAAATATATTTTTTTCCCAGAATAATTCTCCATCTTCTGTCGAATTAATATTATAACACGTATGACAATAAATGATTTTAATCATAACGCCATAAAACTAACTGACACTGTTGATTTCAACAAATAAAGAAAGGTTATAATGACATAAGCATTTGGTTAGATAAGGAATTGATCATAATTAAAAAGCTGGAAGCACTAGATGGCTGTTTCTTTCTAGTATGGAGCTCATTGGCAGTGCATATCCATGACTCCCAACCATGGATCTTCGGTTTTGTTTCTGCGAATGCTTAACCGCCAGACCACTGAAATGGTAGGCATCCAACGGTCTTGAGTTCTAATTTTTATCAAACCAAGATATTGCACAACCTCTCCTATTTTCTTTGGTAGTTACTACCAAAACTCAACACGGCTGAACTCCACTGATCACGGTTTCTTTTCACTAGAACTCCGAGAGTTTTATTCACGAAGCAAGTCATTCGTGAGCACATTGTTATGATTTTCATTGTACAGTTGTGAAGATTGTTGAGTTTAAGCGAAATAATGAGTCGTTGATGCTCACTCCAGATGAGTACCATACTAAGATGAAATGTTCGTCCAGTGCTTCCAGGTCTCTAATGACGACGGTCTAACATTGATCGATTCATGATCTGAAAAAATTTCCACAACCCTATACTGATTTTTGAATCATACTCTAATGATGAACGTTAGCGATAATACTCGATTTGTCAAATTTAAGTCTTCTCATCTATTTAGTAGACAGAATAATTAATATTAATCATAAAAAACAATGAACTACAGAATTGTAACCTGTAAGATTTTCCATAACGTTCAATTCATTTGTATTTCTGAATGTTAACTGTGCATAAATATGTTCAATTTTGTTTTTACAGTGTTTAATCATCACACATGAATTGCCAAAGAGAGTTCGAGAACTTGCTCATCACATGAATGTTACTGGTAAATGTACTGTAAGTAAATTCTCTGTAATATTAAGAATATTATTGAAAAAAGCTTTTGTTTTAGTCAATAATTGTATTTATTTATTGGGATTTAATTACTCTCATATTTTAACGGGTGTATAATTTTAATGGTTCAAATTACAGAGTTGCTCATTAAAATCGCAAAACCATATCGTAAATCGTTCATTTGCAAAATATCATTTCATCATATCGAACTGGACTGTTCCTGTTGCAAAACATCAATCCATTGTCACTGTTCATGCGTTTCATACAAATTCCATTGTTTTCTAACTCTTCCTTTCTTGATCTTCCCTCATCTTCTGCTGCCAGACATTACGTTTACACTCACGCAATAGAACACATCAATCAATCTTGTGGTTATAGGCTAATCGAGAAATAAAAAATCAATAAAAGTAGTGACTCATTGTGATTTAGATTATTTATGTATTATAGATTTATGGAAATTGTTGTCCTACATCGGAATCATGAATCGATCAATGTTAGACAACGATTAGAAGGCTGGAAGCACTGGACGGCTGTTTCTTGGTCCTAGTATGGGACGTATCAGTGGCAGTGCTCATCCATGAATTCTGCTAGTCGCATGACTCAAACGCAAGACCTTCAGTTGCACATGCGAACTCTGCGCCGGCCGTCATCCAACAGTGTTGATGTCTAACGTTGAACAATCCAAGGATTTTATGCAACTTCACCCATTGTCTTCGACAGTTGTTGACCATGCCTGACAAAGTTGAACTTCAGTGATCAGATCTTAGATTATTGGACTCGATAGATTCAGGTGTTTTGAAATAAATACACAGTACAAAGTTCTGATAATCTGACTTAGAACGATAATAAAATCATCTGAAATAAAAATGAAACTGATTCGCTTAGCAAAACCGTTACAACCAAAAAATGTTTCGCATAATTCAAGGGCTCTCATCACTTGATATTATTTGAATAGTTTCTAATTTTATATTTCTTCTTTATTTTATCAGAAATTAGGTTTCTGTGGTGGAAGACATCCAATGTTATTGGATTCTGAAGTTTCATCATGTAAGTTTAAAAAAAAACTTTGAATTATATACTTTCCAAACGAATTGTTTAGTATACTTTATCGTAGTCAATAGAGCAATCCCGTGTAGACTATTTACAATCAGGAAATAGGCAAACATAATTCTAGTGTGAGATTTAGTTGAATGATACAATAATATTGTTGAAATCATAAATCCTTGATGGTATAGACCACCTTTAGAAATCTGGAAGCACCTGACCACCGTTTCGTCCTGGTATTGAATTCATCAGCCATGCGCATTTACAACTGCTGTTGATTGCAGGAATCGAACATATGAACTTCGGTCTCGCGTGAGAGCATATCCTATTTCTTCAGACTTCCATCTGCAGAACAGACAGATTTCGTATGTTTTTTGGTTTTGAAAAGACTTTGATTGCGCTATACATTAAAATTGGATACTGTTTTCTCCATTCATATAGCTTCTAGTCGACCTTTCACAGCACACTACTTATCAGTCACATTGTAAGTAGTACGCAGCATACTATCAGTTAACCTAAAGAATAAAATTTGTGTCCAAAATCGATACGAAATTTTTATGCTTATTTTTAACATAATCAGTTATAAATTATTTGCATTACGGGATTGTGAAGATTGTTAAGTTACACGGCCGTCCAGTGCTTCCAGGTTTCTAATAGTGGTCTAACTTTGAAGACTGTGCAACTCCGTGAATTGATCGAGTTAGACATTAACACCGTTAGATACCGGCTCAGTGGTCCGATGGTTAGGCATTCGCGCACAATACCAAAGGTCCCGGGTTTGAATCCTGTGGGGTGCAGGAGTCACGGATGCGCACTGCAGAGGAGTCCCATACCAGGACGAAACGGCCGTCTTTCAGTGCTTCCAGGTTTCTAATGGTGGTCTAACAGTGATTGATCGATTCATGGTTTCAAAAATATAAATTATTTGTTAAATCCAATGTTTCACGTTTTGTATCTTCCTTAATTTAGGTATCAATGAACATTTGAAGTACGGTTTATCATTAGCACAATCACCAGACTACATAGAAATGATGACAGAGCATATGTGTAAATATCATGCAGCTGATCAACAAAAAGTAAGAATAAAAACCTTCTTTTTTTCTTTAATTCAAATGAATACAAGATTATCATAATGGAAACAGATTGAATGAATAATGTTGGCACATAATCTCATTCTGTGAATGTTACATTCAAGTTCAAACTATGAATCTTTCTTTTACACATCAGTATTGATTTTTAAATATGATGGTTATCAGTTGTAATCACTTGAGGGATTTTAGGTATGACTTACTTACTTACTTACTTACTTAGGCCTGTTACCCCACCCCCCAGTGAAGTAGAGGCCGCCGACTAACCTACTCAGCTAGGCGGACTTCCTTTCATGTTCTGTTCAATCGGTGTTCATTCTTTTCATGTCTATTTCCAACTCTCGGCGTAATGTGTTCTTTTGATCTTCTTATTTTCTTTTGGCCTTGAGGATTCCAAGTGAGAGTTTTTCTTGTATTGCAGTTGGGCGTCTACCTCAATATATGTCTCCTACCATCTCTTATACGGTTGCGTAATTTACGTTACATTAATGTATACCACAGAAACAAATATGTATCTTTAAATTGGGAGTAAGAATGTCAGTATTTCAGTTGACATAACTAAACCCTTGATATCCGAGGAAAACCATCACATCATCATTACAATTTAAAATGTTTTCTAGATTTCCAATACAAATCAATCTGTATTTCATTATAAATCAGAATTTATATTTTAATTTCTATATCCAATAAAAAATATCTTTCCTGTCATTATGAAATCATTGACGAATGGACTTAGCCATGTCGGTAATTGTCGACTACCTGGTTGGGGTCCGCGAGATGATAATAATCGATGGTTAGAGACCTTGAATGACATAGCTCAAAATCGTTCGCAATGACGCCGGTGCATTTACTCTTTGTGTTCTCTCAAATTCTAATCTTCTGGATTCTTCAACTTCGTAAATTTATCTCACTGAATCATACTTCTTGAATAATATCTTCTAATCTTAACCTCTCTGATTACTTCTAAGACCTTTACTACCTCTTCTAATATTGCATTTGAATTGACAATCACAGCTCTGTGCTGATGTGACATGGCGACATGAACTGATGTACGTACTTACGTACGAAGTTCTACGTTGCATCTGACTGACTGACTTTCCTGTCATTATTTTTTTTTCAGTGTATGGAAAGTATCGAATCATTAATGACTGCTGTACTTCAATTTGTTGAATAAGTAAGTGTACGTTTAATTTACAGAATTACAAAACTAATAATAATCAATGAATACTTATTTATATTTTTTCTTAAATTTGATTACAAAAAAAAAAAAAGAAAGTTTGTACAGTTTTCTTTCATACTTAATTTAACATTGAACAATGAACTGCTTTGTTTTAATCGTTTCAGGTCTACATCATTATGGAATTGATAAAACTCTAAGAAAATTATCCATAAAAATATAAAATTAATTTTTATATTGATTATGTTTTCAATAATAATAACAGTAATAAATAAAAAGATGATATAATCGAAATTTTTACATTTTTTACAATTGATCAAAATAAATAAAAATTTTAGTTTAATGAATAAATTTATTGGCTTCTTTTTTTTTAAAAAAAAAAAACATTTAATGACAACATTTTAATTGATACTGACATTGAATTCTGTCAAATAATGCAGTTTACACGATAGTGCTTGTTTTGCGCTACTTGATTACATAATACACATTCAATTGAATATCAGACAGACAGACGTACATAAGTTCAAGTTGCCATACCCTATATCAGCACAGAGACACAACTGTCAGTTCAAATCCAATAGTAGTAGAGATAGTAGAAGTTTTGGCGGCAATGGAGAAGTTTAGGATTCGAAGATAAGATAATTCAGTTAGATAAATTCAGAAAGAGAAAGATAGAAGTGATGAGGAATTCGGAAGGTTAGAATGAGATAGAACACAAAGAGTAGATGCACTTGCGCGATTGCAAACGATTTTGAGGTATATCGTCCAAAGTCTCTAACCATTGGTGACTTTCGTCTCGCGGACCCCAACTAGGTAGTCTACATCTACCGACATCACTCAATCCATTTGTCAGTGACTTCATGGATTTGTGCTATGTTTTGGTTTGGCGCCCCCCATAGCTTTCTTCCAACCTACTCCTACACCAGGCATCATTGCTCTTCGAGGCAGTCGGTGGTTAGACATACGTAACGCATGTCCCAACCACCACAACTGATGAAGTTTCACTACTTCATCAATTTATTTACCATCCCTACCTACTATTCAATTGAATATCAATCAACTAGAAGAGTTTTTTGTAGTTTATTTTTGAGATACCCTCTTCTATGCTTTGTAAATAACTCATCTTGATAATCGTTAATTAGAAGACAATACGAAACGTGAAATATAGTTTAATTGTTGTATAGCACAGAGTGCTAAGTCACAAGTACACAAAGTAAATACAAATAGAAATACAGGTGTAGATGAATGCGAACGGTCAAGGAGTCAAAAGAATGGATATGATTTTGAAAAGCACATAGATATATATTGAAAGTGAACAAGTTATCGGATTATGTAAGCAATTAACATTTAAGCTAACTAATGAGAGGAATTTGTAGGTAGGCTGCATACAAGTTAATACAAATATGATGATATGAACATTCTCGGTTGAACAAATTTATTGAACAGCTTATCTATGTATACAGACTGGTGTAGGTGAGGTTCTATAAGTTTTTTAAAATGTAGTACAAAGAGTTCAGTAAAAGCGAATCGTTATTCGAATGAATTTTCAACAAATGATACAAAATAGCCGGACAGATCTGTTTTGACCATTTACAGGTTGATGATCGATCTGTAAGAGAATTAAAATGTCAGTAAATGTTTCAATTAATCAACTGAATACAGTCTAATTTACTTTTAGCTTACATAAAATTACAGATTCACAATTTGACTGATTTGTTTCAAGTTCAGTGTTCTTATTTGTTTAACGTAAAATCTTCCAAATCTATGTTTGTGTTTGTCAACACAAAGGTAGTATTATTCGGAAATGTACTCAAAATACAATACTCCTTTAAACAAATAAATGGATAGTATTAAATGCTAAAAAAATGTTGATATAAACAACAGTTTAGCTTCATGAATCAGACATTTAAATGAACACAAGTGATGTTAAAAGTAATAATTCGCTTTGTTTGATTTATAATAATGATAAATACAGCTTGTTTACAGGATAACTAAGCCCTTAATTCAAATCAGACTAATTTAACCATAATTCATTTGAAAGGTGAACAAAAGCTGATGATATATTACTTATTTGCTTACTTATTCCTGTTACTCCCAATGGAGCATAGGCCACCGACCAGTATTCTCCAACCTACTCTATCCTGGGCTTCCCTTTCTAGTTCTGTCTGATATTTGTTCATTAATCTCTTGTCTGTCTCCATTTCTGTTCCTTGGTCAACCTCTCTTCCTTTGACATTGAGGATTCCAGGTGAACGCTTGTCTTGCGACTCAGATGAGTGGTTTCCTCAATATGTGTCCTATTCACTTCCAGCGCTTCTTTTTGACTTCGTTCTCCGCTGAAATCTGGTTTGTTTCCTCCGAAAGTAGGTTGTTGGTGATAGCATTTGGACAAGATAGCTCAAGTATTTTGCATAGAAAACTGTTAATGAATAGTTGTATCTTCTGGATGATGGCTTTTGTGGTTCCCCAAGTTTCCTCTTCATACAGTAGAAGTGTCTTGACATTTGTATTGAAAATTCTGATTTTGGTGTTTGCTGATAGTCGATTTGAGTTACAGATGTCCTTCAGTTGTATAAATTCAGTCCTTACTCTCTCAATCCATGATTTTACATCAGTATCAGGTCCACTGTATACCATGCTTCCTCCAGATATTGTCTTCATAATCAAGTCGATCATCAAGAGAAAGAGGAAGGGTGAGAGTAAGCAATCTAAACATCTGGTGTAAGCTAGAGATATTCAATGTTTCAACAGTAAAATTACTTTCCTCAAATAACAATAAGCTAATATAAATTCAATATCTTTTTCTACAGTAAAGATAAAAACTGTTTAACATGGGGAAATTTTAAGGTTAAAATCAGATATTAGGGCTAATAGAAGAGAAAACAACGAAAATGTCAGTAGTTATCGTTTTCGAGTGATTGAAATAGTGACTGACATACCTACAGATTTTGACGACTATATTATATGTATTTCAAAGTAATGAATTATGAAGGTTTAGACAAACCATTTGCAAGCACTTCATTTAGAGGGTTATTTTTAAAACCTCTAAATATATTGTCAACACTTTTTGTGTGAACAATGTATCTACATAAAAACCTATATGACATCCTAATCGTTTACCCAACAATTTTAGTTTTGTTGCAGTATAGTGATAATGATTGTTTAAAGTGCCTATTTTTCAATCAATAGGTCATAAGTATGTGTAAAGATTTCATTCTTCTTGGATTACAGTAGTTAGATTACATATCAGTAATCCTCATACATTCAAAATATATGAAGCTCAAAGTATAGTGCATACAATCGTACCTGCTCAATGGTTTACATTGGTATGAAGTCTTCTTAACTATCCCATCATTTTCAGGACTGATTGAAGTCATAAACTATTCTTCACATTGATTATACAAATATCGCCATTTTAAATAGTGATACGCCAGGCACATTTGAAAGTGTGATATATAGAAAGTAGTGGATTGACAATTGAATGAACAAATCTTAATCCAAACGAGTAATCAATAAATGAGATTTATCAATTACTAGGAAATCCAAAATATAGTTTCTTAGTAATTATTTACTGCTTCCAATGACGTCCTCATTAAAAATTGTTCCTTATGATGCTTACTGTTTCATAAATTAGTGAATACAAGTTGTTTATATGTTAAACTATCTGCAAATAGTTCGAATTATTTGTTCTGGTTAGTAGTCTTTTCTTTTGCAAGTTTGTTTTTTCTGGGGATGAAGTCGTTAATTTCATATCCAACCCTCCACCTTTTATCCGATCTTAAGACCTACAGTAACCTTGAAAGTGCTCCAAGCGGAGTATCTAGAACTGATTTAGTTCAGAAGTTTTACACATTTACACAAGATTCTTAATTCCATTTGAAAGTTGTTGTAAAAATTGCATATTCCATGTACACTGGCCTGTAAGCTAAACTTGACGAGCGATGTTTTGTGGTGTAGGAGTTGGTTGGAAGGATGCTAGGGGAGGCAAAACCAAAATATGACACCAGTCCACGACGCCACTGACTGTTACGCCTGCACGTAAACACGTAGACTTGGTATGCTTGAACGATTACGAGTTCACCTAGTCAGAAAACGAGAGCGAGGATCAAGGATACGGCGACGCGACATGCTACTCAAATCCGATTATCACAACCAGCATATTGAGTAAAAGAAAAGAAGAATCGCTATGAAGTAGAACCTGTATTCTACAAGCATTGAGAAACTACGAGGTCCGAGTCAAGAAGAGAATCAGGATCTCGGACTAGGGATCCGGGACTGGGTACAGGTCCTGGTCATAAAAAGTTACAAGTAATGAGTATTCATACAATTAGGTCGAATAGGAAACACCATCGAAGTCTGTGACATTGACAGTTAAGACGACCAACAGGAAGCAACATTTGAAGTGACATTGATAGTCAGGACAACCAATAAGAAACAACATTGGAGACGTGACATTGATATCTAGGACAGCCATAAAATTGACCAGTAAGAATTAACCAATAGGAAATGACCAATATTTGTCATAGGATATTGGATGAATATCCTAACACTGACAACTGGACTGAGTCATGTTAGTAAGTGTCAACTACCGTGTCGGTGTCCGTGAGACGATTGTAACCGATGATTAGATACCTTGAACGATATGGTTCAAAATCGTTTGTAATGGCACAGGTGCATCCACTCTCTCAAATTTTTAATCTTCCGAATTCCTCATTTCCTCCGTCTTTCTCTTTCCAAACTTATTTCAATGGATTATACTTTTTGAATAATATCTTCGAACCTTAATCTTCTCCATTACCAGTAATACTCCTACTATCTCTACTACTATAAGATTTGTAGTGACAATCGCTTCTGTGTGCTAATGTGGCAAACTGAACTTATATACGAATGAACAAGATTTGACGTTGTAACCGACTGACTAAAACTAGCCTTTTTAATTCCAATAAAGCTTTATTTTGACTTTGTATACCAGTGTGTTATATACTACTCATAAGTATTGGAATATTTTATACTATTATAAACGGGTTATGTAACTTTCTCAGTAATAGTATGGTGGATACAAATGTCAGGTCAGTTCTACTGTATGGAGCGGAAACTTCGAGAACTACGAAAGGTATCATTCACAAGATACAAGTGTTTATTAACAGCTGTCTACGCAAAATACTTCGTATTCGTTGGCCAGACACCATCAGCAACAACGTACTGTGGGAGAGAACAAACCAGATTCCAGTGCGGGAGGAAATTAGGAAGAAGCTGTAGTAGTGGATAGGACACACACTGGGAAAAACACCCAACTGTCCGACAAGACAAGACCTCACATGGAACCCTCACGGATAAAAGAAAGAGGAAGGCCAAGGAACACATTACGCCGAGAAATAGAAAAAGATATTAGAGGAATGAAAAACATTGGACAGAACTGGAGAGGGAAGCCCAGGACAGAGTTGGTTAGAGGAAACTGGTGGGCGGCCTATGCTCCATTGAGGGTTACATGCGTAAGTAAGTAAGTATACTACTCGTAAGTAGTGTGCGACAGAAGTTACTGGTGAAGCGAAATGTGATTTTCGAAATCTGAGCGAATAAACAAAGTCCATTATTTTTCTAATACTTTGTATTACATTAATTACGCAACTGATAATTAAAATATTCTTTGATCTAGTTGTTTTATTATTAATAAATGAATAAAGTCTAATTTGAATTTATTTTAAAAAAAAACTTATAGAAATAACTTATGATCTTTGCATATTTCACCATAAAATTAACTTTGATAATGAATTGTTTTTCTAGTTCGTATTAAACAAACGTGTTCTCATCAACAAAAAAATTGGACATTGATCGCTTTACAGTTGGTTAAATGTACAAATATTCAGCCTACTTATTTTGTTTTTTAAATTTAGTTGATTTTTGTTTATTATTCATTAAAAATTTAAACAAATTTTTTTTATTAATAAATAGAATAAAAAGTAATTTAATTACGTTTGTATAATAATAAGTTTGAATAATCATGAAAAACGGAATGCTGTTAACGGTATCTACTACTTTCTTGATTGTTTTAATTATTACTACTGGTGAGCATTGTTATTAGTCGCATATATATATTTTTTCCTGTTTGACTAATATAGAGATTAAATGTGTAACGAGTGAACAACAAATACAGGTAAGTAATATATTTTACATTGATATAAGTTATCTGTTCATTGATAGACTTCTCTTTTGATTATCAGTAATGATGGTATTAATTAGTTTGATGTGTAGATAATATTATGACCCGAATCATATAGTATAATCGTAATTCGATGAAAATGAGTAAAATGATATGGAGATATGAATGAGGAAAGTATATATCACTTGGTAAATTTGTATTAGATTTTACGAATCCTCCCAAGTGACCTTTTTTATGACTATAATTGATCATTCGCTTTGGCATATGTGTATCTGGTGTGGATTTCCATTGGGTTACAACGATTATTAGAAGATTTAGCAGTGGAATCTATCACTTGAGTTTCATCTTATTTGGAACTCTTCAGAAGGTACATTTTAGCACACAGCAGTATAAATGACTTCTCGTAGTAGCATAAAAGGTTAATAATGACTATCAACAAGAAAATTGGGTCTAAGAGGATACAAATATGGAAGAAAGAGAAATTAGGAAGCGATTGTTTCAAGGGTTCAGAAACAGTTCAGCCGAAAATTGTTAGAAACAAAACTATTTACTGAATATTAAAAAGTAGTATAGAACAATAGACAAAATTAAATTAAACGGGAAGAGTTTCAAGGCAGAGAAAGTCGATAATCTCGATAGATTTCTTAAGAATGATGTGTTGTTACTTTTTAGGTGTCCATTTTAACTTCGGATCAACCTGATTGTCATTTACGTAAGAATAACTACATTTTATTTTCAACGGTTATTATGTGTTTATTTTAACTTTATATCAGATGAGATATATATTTGTGTTAAAATCTCTCAATCCGGGTTTAGAGTCTAAATCGAGGCTCCATGAAGTGAAGGTAATTATAAGATTTATCAGTAAGGGAATAGAAACCAACCTTCTTTTAAAGTATGCAGAGGATCTTTAAATTATCAAAGTGTTTAAACAAATGAAACAAAATCCTTAACATTTTACGTTACAACCAGTTCTACTCTAACAAAATTTCTTCATTCATAAGATACTGAAAATTATCAGTTTGACAAGTCGGACCCAGGACCGCCAATCTTGCCCGTGAACGCCTAACCTCTGGACCACTGGTCAGCCATCCAATGATGTTATCGTCTAACTCCGATCAATCTAGGGATTTTGAACAACCTCACTCATTTGTCTTCGGTAGTTATTGCCTACGTCCAACGGGGTTGAACTTTACTGGTCACGTCTGAGATTATTTCGCTCTTACCAAGGCCTGAAGACCCTATGTAAATCTGTGTATAGGACAGTGATCATATACTAATGTAATGAACGAAGATATTGAGACCAGATAGAGTAGTGAGCTACTTGGAGAAGAAACAGTTTTAGTCGTAAGATACGTAACCTTTTATATAAGCAGATTATTGACTGTATTTTTTCACATGTTTTCTGGTTTTCAAAAACGTTTATTCAGATCGGACACTCTTTTCTCCAATAGTCACTTCTCATTGACATTACACTGCATCCTACTTATGAGCTACGTTGCATAAAGTATCCACTACACTAGTAAAAAGTTACTAGTGACAACAGAACATTTATCCAGTGCTATCTTGTCTTTAGCGATTGACTAACAGATGCAACATTAAGCAATTGTTCAAGTTTCATGTCAACTAAATTTCATTGAAATCATGAATCGATCAGTGTTGGATTACCATTAGGAACCTGAAATTAATGGACGGCCGTTTCGTCCCGGAACGGAACTCATCAGCCATGCGCACCTACGACTCCTGCACCATGGCCGCTCAATGCTTCCAGGTTTCTAATGGTAGTCTTACATAGATCAATACATGATTTCACTGAGTAACTCAACAATTTTGAAAACTAGCGAAAGTTCATATAAATGGACAATTTACATTACATAACCACAGAATTAACACTAAACTAAGTTTAAGCAGAATCCAAAAATGCATAATTTATTAATATTACTTTTTATCGCAGTCATTATAATTTTTAAATAAAATTACTTAACGTTTCTTGAATATTTTCTTTTAGTCTGTGAACTTTGCACATCAACAATAAATGCTACAAAGTACATATTAGATGAAGAACCATTTCTGCCAAAACTACTACAATATTTTATGCCAATTTGTTATATGTTACCAAAACTGGAATATCGAAAAATTGTAGGTTTTAATCAAATAATGTATTTTTCCGAATTTACTTCATTTCACAATGTTAAATTCACGAAATCGTATTATTTAAGAAAGTTCTCGAATTCCATAATTATTATGATGAAATGATTTTGGTTAAACCATTGTTTCAGTATGGAACTCCTTATTAGCCAGCACCCATGACCTCATCATAGCGGATCAGACTCAGAATCACCAAGTGCTTAAACTTCAAGTCACTGAATTGATATCCAGTGATTTGTATTTTTAACTTTAAAGTTTAAGTGCTTGACCAGAAACCTGAGGATCCTCTGTTCGATCCCTGTTACGCATGCCCGTGACCACGTCATTTGATCTGCTTGAACTATTACGAGTTCACTTTAGTCAGTAAACGAGAGTGAGGAACGATGATCCTGCGACATGACAGGTTATTCTAATCCAAGTATCCCAAACCCCCACTGATTAAAAGAAGAAGACTTGATATAAAGTAGAACATGTATTCTGCTAACATCCAGAAAGTACGAGGTCCAAGTCCAGATCCCGGACTAAGGATCCGGGTCCTGAAACGTTACGGATAATGCATATTTATACAGTTAGGTTGAATAGGAAACAACACTGAAGTACGTGACATTGATAGTTGGGACGACAAATAGGAATTAACCAATAGGAATTGACCAATAGAATTAAACTTACAAATAATTTTCCTAGGATATTTGGTGGAATATCCTAACAATCTTTGGTTATGTAGCCAGTGTAAACTATGGAGGGGATTTTTACTCAAGCAAAATAGTCATATGTTGCTTTCTGATCATCAATACATGACTTACTAAGGTCAACCCATGATATAAACAATTACAATTTCAGAATAGCTCCATTAAAATGCACACCCATGGAGTACTGGTTTACTCAATGGATCACACACACAAATCAAACACTATAAAATTTGAAATTGTTGAAGTTAAATTGCGAAGAAAAGTCACAATGAACATAATTATAAACTTTTATAGAGTTGACTTGTTCATTTCATATTATTTTTTTTGATAGACAGTAGCTTAAAATTCATAAATAAAATATTTTTTGTATTGAGAGGACTGAGGCAAGCTATTAAGATTGTATTATGTAAATTTACACTCTGAGTCAATTAAAAACGAAAACATTACATTGAATACTCTATTTGCACACCATCTTTGAGTCGTGACTTCCAACACTCCATCCTTCTTCCATTCCTGTTGTTGCTTCCTTCCCTTCCTGTTGATACTCCATTTACTTCTTGCTGTTGCCCCATTTGCTTACCGTTTTCCTCTTCTGACCGTGCGAATTCTTCTTCTTTCACGTCCCTTCTTATACTACTTATATCGTTCGTATAAGTAGAACACACCACAGTATGATATTACTTATTTTTCTCATGTTTTGATATACAACAAGATTAGAACCCACATAAAATACTACTTCTGCCATAGATTGTTTCAAATAAATGACAATTTAACAGAAAATCAAAGTTAAATAATAGTTTGTCGTTCGATTGCATTTAACTGATGAATACCAAAACTTAGATTATCAAGTTATAATTCAGTTAATATTTCTAAACTAAATTGTTAAGATTCCAGTCCAGAAGGTATCCTCTCAGACAGCGGCGAACAATAGTCAAGATGCAAGTCGACCGCAAGGAGCGCACGCTATTAAAAACTGGGGGAGTGTTGGTGACGTTAGATTCCCAGAACTCACTTGATAAATGCCTTAATTTTGAATTTTATTCATAGGCTGATCAGTTGACCCTAAGATCACATTTCCCACCAGGAACATACTTGGCTGCAATTGGTTGATGTGTTATTTTAGTAATGATATGCTCGTCATTAGGTACGCTTGAAGTTATTACAAGTTCATCTTAGTCGGTAAACACGAACGAGACAATTATCAGCGTCCAGATAGGCTACCTTGAATCCCAAGCTGAAGACAGAAGGCTAGATAAGCGTAGAAAGTATATTCTACAAACACCCAGCAATCACAATACAATCAAGCACACACAAATTTCGTTTATTTATACATCGTAGAAACATCCTTGTGAGAGTCACGAAAATAACACACTAAAATACACAGCAGCCAATCACAGCCATGGATTTTGCTGGTGGGAAATGAAATCTCAAGGTCAACTGATCAGCCCATGCTGACAAACGTGAAATCCAAGATAAGGCATTTATCAAGCGAGTTCTGAGGATCTAACATCCCCAACAAGTAAGCTATTTCGGTAACTATTCCAAGGACATTTCTACGATGTATTATTAAACCCACGGGTGTCGCTTCGATTTCTTCAGAGGGAGGTGTTAGGATATTCATCCAATATCTTAAGGTAATTGTTTGAAAGTCTAATTATATTGGTCAATTCCTATTGGTTAATTCCTGTTAGTCGTTCTAACTATCAATGTCACATACTTCAATGTTGTTTCCTATTTAAACTAACTGTATAAATACACATTATCTGTAACTTTTTATGACCCGGATCCGGATCCCTAGTCCGGGATCATGATCCTCTTCTGAACTCGGACCTCGTACTTTCTGGATGTTAGTATAATACATGTTCTGTTTCATATCAAGTCTTCTTCTTTTATTCAGTGGGGGTTTGGGATATTCGGATTAAAAAATAGCCTGTCATGTCACCGGATCATCGTTCCTCGCTCTCGTTTTCTGACTACGTCAAACTTGTAATAGTTCCAGCATATCAAGTTGACATGTTAACATGCACGCGTAACATAGATAAACATGAAAATCGACTACAACCTTATAGTACTACTATTACTATTATTATTATCATTATTATTCGGTATAATTAAACCGTATTGTTAAAACTCATTAGACTACTGATTTATATTACTAATTTCTATATTTTGTTACAGTGTTATCATCTTGTAGACGGTGGTGTTGTTAGTATAATTCATGAAATGTTGAATAAAATGAATGAAAATGAAATTTTTTATGTAAGTAAATAATTTGAAATACATTTGGTTTTTTCGATATATATTAAATGTTAACATCGGTTCAAATGAATTAGACTTTCCTCTCAAATTCTGTCAGAAATAAATATCATAATACGGAAAGTTTTGGTGGATATCGTTAAAAAATTTTTTTCTTCACTTCATGAATTGATCCTACTTGGATCACCAATGGAAATCAACAATGACTGAATGGCTGAATGAAATTGATCATAGTTTTCTTCTGCATATAGGCTAAATTATAGGTGGTTGGTGATAACAGTCTTTATAACTTACTTGCTTACTTACTTACTTATTTACTTACTTACTTACTTACTTACTTACTCACTTACGCCTGTTACCCCCAGTGGAGTATAGGCCGCCGATCAATGTTCTCCAGCCTACTCTGACGTAGTCTTTCCTTCTCAGTTCCACCAACTTGCTGCTCATTCTTTTCATGTCTGCATCCGATTCTCAGCATAAAGTATTCTTCGGTCTTCGTCCTTTCCTTTAGCTTTGAGGATTCCAAATTAGGGTTTGCCTCGTCAGACGGTTGAATGCTTTCCTCAATTAGAGTTCTAACCATTTCCAGCACTTTTTTTCTGATTTCCTCCTCCGCTGGAATCTAGTTTGTCCTATTCCACGGTAAGTTGTTGCTACTGATATCCGGTCAACGGATATGAAATATCTTCAAGTGTAGAAAAGCTGCCTTTGCTCCATCAATCTGTGCATTCATATCTGCATGAAATCCACTATGCTCATCAATGATTTTGGCCAGATATAAAAAAGGTTTTTAAATCCTCCAAAGTTTCTCTAAGTGTGATTTTTTGTTAGTAGTTGTTGTGTTAGGATCTTACTTCTTGCCTTGTGTATGTTGAGACCTACTGCTTCAGAGGCTACTGCTACACTGGTCGTCTTCTCCTGCATTTGCTGTCGTGGGTGGGGTAAAATGGCTAGATCATCTGCTAAGTCCAGATCGTCTAGCTACATCCGGGCTCTCCAAAGTATTTCGTGCTTCCCTCCAGATGTTGACGTTTTCATTACCCAGCAGACGATTAGGAGAGAAAAAGAAAAGTTGATAGTAAGCAACCTTGTCTGACCCAGGTCCTCACTTGGAACGGGTATGTGAGCTGTCCTCCCTGCCAGATCTTACAGTGGATTCCGTATGATGTTGACTATCTTCTCAAGCTCGCCGTAGCGTCGAAGTCAATTAACTTACATGGCGTGTCAGAGAACTTAATATAAAGTAACCTGAGGTACGATTCATTGATGATTAGATATTCTAAAGCTAGTAATATTGAAAATGTTTCTATCTTACTACTCTTATGTAATTCATTCATAACTGGAAATTATCAATTATATTATCTTATCTGAATCAAACGGACATTAATTATCAAGGATTGAAAGGCTTCACGTTAAATCGACAAAACAGATTGATATTACATTCGTTTGTAAAGTATATTATAATCATTATCAGATTTGAACACTATTTTCAATTACACCTAAAATGATTATATCATTCATAGTAATAAAATACACTAATTCTCTTCACTTATAGCACATTGGATTATGTAATAGCATAATTCCATGCCCAAGTGTTCAAAATTCTTTAACCTGTAAGTTAGTGATTGATACAAAGGTTTATTTAAATAATAATTAGTCATCAATCGATTTTCTCGCAGTTTCGAATCGACGTGTAAAACGAAATTTATTTTCTCCTTAAACTAGACATTTAACGCTTGATTTATGCTGTCTGATGAAAGTTGGATTATCAATCTTTAGGTTATTAAATCTTCCAAAGACGCGCACAAATTGTGCATTGAACAAGTCAGATTTGTGAGAAGAAATTGTTCTTACAAATGAGATTCTATACCAGACGGGCATTAACTTTTAGTAATAATAGTAAAATCCCCTTGATTTTACTCTGCTTTTTCGATATCAGTTGCTTGTTTAGTGGCTTGTGATTTGAATCCAATTTGGACGAACAACTAACTGCGATATGAAATAAATCTTTCCCTCGATTTCTGTATATAACACTTTGGCGAACCTCTTTTTTGCGACAGCTGTAATGAGAAGCTAAAAAATGGATTCAGTCGGATAAGTTTATTTTAGGCCACCGTTCACTCAGACATACATGAGAATACAAAGTGTAAAAACGAAGCAAAGAGAAGTGAACTCGAGAAGACGAGTGAGCTAACTCAATGTGATGAAACATGAATAAGTATTTGTAGTCAGACAGGCTAAATAGGCATGTAGGCATGTAGTAAGCGAAGCAAGCAATGAACATACTACTCACTCAAATAAAAGCGACCAAGATATAAGTGAACATTTGACAAGGTCAAAAGATGTGAAATGGTTTAATTAGTTTGTCAAAAGGCTGAGAGAAGCCTTGTAGGCTCAACTTATTTGTTACGCATACTACACTAGTTATAGGTTTATTACGTTTGACAGAGCTCGAAAGTAAGTATATACAGGAATTCTTAACGTTGAGATGTAATGGTTGCACAGCAATTTGTTAACACTATACTTGATTGGTAGCGAACTGCATGAGATAAATTTCGGCATAAATTTCGTGTTGGTTGGTATTCATCAGCCAGACATATGTAAAACCGTGAAGGAATTGATGAGGTCTTGTGTGATTTGAAGCCATGGATTTCGTTGCACTGTATCCGCTATTCTAAATAACTTGATATCATATTTTGATGTTGTTAGAAGAACACCAGTTACCTTAAGTCTGTCGGTGTGCCATGCAAATGTTTGATAATTAACATGAAGTCAAGGCCAAGAAAAGTACTTCCGATCAATAAATTCAGCTCAATACATCAATGTTGTCTACAAAAATTGATCATAAACATAACTTAAGTATGTTTTCTATATTGTTTTCTTTTCATTGCAGAGATGAAAATTTGTTTGACTTAACTCATTTTGCATTATGCAAAACAACATCAACAAATCAATAAATTTTTTTCTTTTGAAATCATAAAGGTCTTTTTAAAAAGTATCCATGTCATGATATTGACAATTATTGCAATTTGGCTGTGTTTTGATTTCATTCCATGGGGATTACTTTTAATAAAACAATCAATAATGAAACTGATTATTTACATACTGAAGGATAAGAAAAATTAGTCAGTTACAACGTAGAATTTAATACGTACGTACGTACATCCGTTCAAGTTGCCATTTTCACATTAGCACAGAAACGAAATTGTCAATTCAAGTCCCATAATGGTAGCGATAGTAGAAGTATTAGCAGTAATCGAGAAGAATAGGGTATAATTTAGTGAGATAAAGTTAGCAAGAGAAAGATAGAGATGATGAGGAATTCAGAAGGTTAGAATTTGAGAGAACACAACGAATGGATGCACCTGCGCTATCGCAAACGATTCTGAGCCATGTCGTTCAAGGTCTCTAACTACCAATGAATTTCGTCTCGCGGACCTCAACCAGGTAGTCTACATCTACCAACATGGTTCAGTTCAGCAGTCAGTGACTTTATAGATTTATACCATGTTTTGGTTTAGCCGCCCCTACCTTTCTTTCAACCTACTCCTACACCACAAACCATAACTCGACTAGGCAATAAGTGGTTGGGCATAAGTAGCACATGTCCCAACCACCTCAACTGATGACGTTTCAATACTTCATCTATTGATCTGCCATCCTTATCTGGTACCAGTGGATAAGAACAGGTCGAAAATATAACTCAATGTATTTGTGAAAAAGGTGACATTAAAAGAAATGGGAATATTGAAAATACATTTAAAATTTGTAAAGAAAACAACTACAAATTTCGTTTTAATAATTACTAGACTGTTTTGTCATGATTAAAATAACTGGATATGACTAAAGACGGTAAACAAGTGATGTTTTGTGGTGTAGGATTAGGTTGGAAAAAATCTAGGGAGCGGCCGAACCAAAACACCTTTGTCTTACTATTTCATAAATTCGTTCAGCCGAATTACTTTTCTAGGATGATTTTTTCGAACCTTAATCTTCTCTATTAGCGCTAACACTTCTACTATCTCTAACACTATGGGATTTGAAGTGACAATTGCGTCTCTGCGTTATTGTGGTATGATAACCTGAATATTTGTACGAATGTACAAACTTCTACGTTTTACCTGACTGACCGAATAGTATGCAGCTGGTTTAAAAACTTTATCTCTGTAGCCCTCACGTGTTTAGATCATGATTTTTGTTAGAAGATCTCATTGTGATGAAGTGATATCATAAATGTTGCAAAAACTGAGAATCACGACTAAGTGCTGATCAAAATGAAGATAGGGATGGATGAAAAGTCAGATTCAGGGTTGAATTGGTTTCCCTTCGGTTCCATGACCTTGAGCATCTTTGGTGAAGGAGGGTATTCTGTATTTTAAAGTGCTTGAGGTAGGCTGACCATATCTTAACCTGTCTGAATTTGTAGTTTTCTCATGCTTAAGTAGATTGTTGACGTCTGAAAACCTTGAAAAGTCGTTGGAAATTATTTCAAGTGTGTTTACTTTCTTTGTTAGTTAGGATTAATTTTTCAGTGATTTTCTGTTAGAAAGCTGCCGTTAAACCTTCGTCATCGAAGGAAGTATTCGACCATAAAAATAGCGTATTATCAGTCAATAAGTTGACGTGCACTTGTGAGAAGTTTATTTACATTACCAGGAAACTGTCCACAGTTACTGATCAAACTTCTAGTTTGCAGAACGTTTTGGTTGATATTAAGGGAACTTTTCATCCGCCTTCGAAAATATCAGGTGGACAGTTTATAAAATCTAAATGAAAGAAAAGAGCCTCTGTAAAAGAAAATGCAGTAATTGTGAAAGAAAAAGAGCTAAAGTGCAGATAGGAATTTTTCGATTCAACCAAACTTATTAAAACAAAGACAGATGCATTAGAAGTCTGTTTAATACTTACAAGCAGATAAATTCACCATGGTTTACTTATATACGTGGATGGATTCACTACGAACCAATGCACATGGAGCACACAAGAACGATACCAATTTACCCCAGTATGATTACACTTTCTTACCATATTCGGAAAATATCAAGCAACCAAAAGTTCTTTTGAGCAATAATGACTACGTAGTATGAAACGTGTAACCTTCTCGCACGTATACAGTATATGCA